TAATTTCTTATGTTTTGTGCCTCGGAAATCTTTTGTCACTTTGATGTTATTTTATAGAGACCTACAATCCTATTTTTTGATCAAGCATTTTAAATCTTTTGATATTTGACAGACTTCCCAAAATTAAATTTCAAGTTCTAAAACCAAATTTTTTTGACCTGGACTAAGTTGGACATAACAAGAACCCAAGAAGTCCAATAGAGACATACTGGGCTTGTTTGGTATATTAAAATCATACAGGAAGCACTGTCAAATTTTTTAAAAGTGCTAGCCATCTCTTATAGAAGAAAAAAAATTAAAAACTTTAAAGTTGGTGTTTAACTTTGAGTTTTATTTATATAAATGTATTACTAATATGTGTCCCAAAATGGTATGATATTCTCAAATTTCAATCTTGGCATGTTACCAGTCATAATTATGGTTATCATGTTAAATTATTGTATATCACAGAAATAACCACATTTCCTTGGCAATTGCATCTTTGACCATGACTACTCTACATTTTTTTGGTCATCCACAATTATTTTCTTAAATCCTTCTCATGTTAGGCCTAAGCCCCGGCTACTCCTAAAAACTGTTCTGTCCAGCTGGGCATGGTGGCTTATGCCTGTGGTCCCAGCTTCTCAGCAGGCTGAGGGCAGGAGAATCACTTGAGCCTACAAGTTTGAGACCCTGTCTCTAAAAAATTTAAAAATTAGTCAGGTGTGGCGGCACACACCTGTAGTCCCAGCTACTTGGGAAGCTGAAGCAGGAGGATCGCTTCAGTCCAGAAGTTTGAGGCTACCTTGAGCTATAATCATGCCATTGCACTCTAGCCTGGGCAACTGTGTTTTAAAAAATTGTTCTTGTCTGCTTTAATGAATGTCTTACCAGTTCTCCAACCTATATTGCACAACACTTCTGAGTCTTATCCATAGACTCAACCTATACCATGGAACATCAGTGAGGGACATTGATAAAAATCTAAAAGGTGCCTGCCTTGTCGCCCTGGTTGGTCTGAGTTGTTCAATTGGCCATAGTTTCTTAGCCACATAAGTCCCACCGAGGCCTAGAGGAACTAGATGGACGTGGGGCAGGTAGCCACACCACCCTGGCAATGTAAGGAGCAAGATAACTTCTTACCCTGAGGCTCAAAAGCAGCAGCAGCCTGGGATAGCTGTGCTGAGAGACAGAGTGTCAGAATGAGACATAGCACAAGTTGCTCACCAACACCGCCTACAGCAGGCTTTGACCAAAAGATGAAATGTCAAATTATTCCCCCAGCGGACAGATTAGATGGACTCCTGTGCTTGCTTCGGCAGCACATATACTAAAATTGGAACGATACAGAGATTAGCATGGCCCCTGCGCAAGGATGACACGCAAATTCGCGAAGCGGTCCATATTAAAAAGAGAGAGAGAGAGAGAGATGGACTCTTGTGGCTCAGAAGTTAAAAGCCGAACCAAGAGGCCACGCAGGGTGACTGAGCGGTCACACTCTCTGCGTCCTTGGAAAGTGTTGCAAAACCTGTTTTTCTGCAACCAAGTCAAAGGACAGTTCTTGAACACAACTACAGCTGGCAATTCCCCGACTGACCACCAATAGACCACCGGAAACCAGCCACTTAAACTGGTGATTTGGGGGCTTAAAGTTCATCCCATCAAAACTCTCAATTCCACCTTTGGAGGAATTATTCCTCACTGCCCCAGTCCCCTCCCCTGCCCTGTGGTTTTGCCTTTATAATCTCCTACTTACCGGCCCCTCCTAGGTGGGCACTTTCATTTTGCACCAAAAGCTGCATTTCCCCAACATGCAGATTGCTTTCAGAAAATAAAGTTCTCCGTTCACAAATCTCATGGTCTTTTGTTAACCATGTGGATTTAAATTGGAAGCCCTAATTCACACTGGCCACAAACCAGTTTTAATGGACTGGCACAACATTAGCTCATGTTGAAAAAATTGGAGATATCACATAAAACATGCAGATTTCTGCCTTCTCTTATCAAGTCAGAAGCTGGCTGGCCCTCCTGGGTAGCACACCAGCTGGGGCCAGAGAGCAGGGTCCCCTCTTCCAGTTGGAGCCTGCGCCCCCTAGCTGCCGCTGAAAGCAAAAACAGGTGAACCTTAGTATCCTGCAAACTTGATTTTCCTGCCAAGAAGCACTGAGTCAGCACCGCCAGGAACCTACTGAGCTAGCCTAGTTACACCCTTGGCCTCCAAGGTGGAATTGAGCAAGTCGTCGCCACTCTGCTTCTCAGTTTCACGCTTGTCCTTGAGACCTCCACTTTTTTTTTTTTTTGAGACAGAGTCTCACTTTGTTGCCTGTGGCTGGAGTGCCCTGGCGTCAACCTAGCTCACAGCAACCTCAAACTCCTGGGTTCAGGCGATCCTCCTGCCTCAGCTTCCTGAGTAGCTAGGTCTAGAGGTATGCGCCACCATGCCCAGCTAATTTTTTCTATGTATATTTTTAGTTGGCCAATTAATTTCTTTCTATTTTTAGTAGAGACAGGGTCTCGCTCTTGCTCAGGCTGGTCTCAAACTCCTGAGCTCAAACGATCCTCCCGCTTCAGCCTTCCAGAGTGCTAGGATTACAGGTGTGAGCCAGAGACCACCATTCTCATGGATGCTTTCCTTGTTAGGTCTTCGTAGATAGCTGAACAAAAAAGTATTGGCTACAGAAACTGACCCAGAAGCAGCCTATCAGAAAGTCAGCAGGGAAATGGATTCTCTGAAAACACCAAGTGTGTGTGACTTGCTGTGCCTACCCCTTTGGAGGAAACTGTAGCACGAAGAACTCCAGCCCTTTCTGATGCAGAGCTGAGCCCACTACAGCCCCACAAGTGGGAGGAAAGGCGGGCAGGGTCACCTGAGACAAGTGGGAAAGGGTGAACCCAGCGGAAACTATGCCCCTTCTGTTGTCCTGCCTTGAGTCCGATTTCAAGCTTATACACACACACACACACACACACACACACAGAGAAATGGATATGGCAATCATTTGGCTACAGCCCAAAGAAACTTGCCAAACCTTCAGTTCCTTTTATCTTTTTCTACCAATGAAGAGCCATAATGCAAGCTCTTACCAATGGGAACGTGGAAAAGGAAGAACAGCTTATTCCAGATCAGCTCTTGAAAATTCTCACGTGGAGCAACATAAGAGGAAAGGGGCCCTCTTTTCCAAAGTCAGAGAGAAAGGATAAATTGGGACGACCCTCTCTAATTTGGCAATAACTATCAACACGTTAAGTGCATATAACCTTTGCCCCAGCAATACCACTTCCGGGCATCTGTTCTGAAGAGAGTCTGCACGGGAGCACAAAGACACATACACCCAGAGAGTCACCGCAGCGCCGTCTGAGATGTGAAAACTGAGAACGGCTTACATGTTTACCCATGAGCAACGTGGATGTATTTATGCTGTGGAAAACCAAAGGGCTGTTAGAAATGATATGCGAAAAGAGCCATAGAGCACAATTTAACTAACTGCTTATATGTAACGTGAAATTGGCAAATGATGCCAATCACGTGCACCACAAAAAACACAAGAGCAAGCGACGGAAATTGTATTTGGAATCCTGTGCACCATCCCGCTCGCCATCCTAGGCCCGGAGGGACACTCCAGCATGACCAGCCTGGTGCTCCTCCCGCGTCCCCAGCGTTGCGAGCTGCTCTGGGCTCCGAGAGTGGCCTCTAGCATTAAGAAAAGTCGGTGCTCCTCACACCGCCTGGCCTCACGTTCGAGACAACTTGCCCTGGTGCTCAAGAAGGTATGGCGGCCTTTTAGAGCTTGCTGGGACAGAACATCAGTCTCCAGGCGAGAACCTTCCAAAAGGCAACTCTTCCCCTTTCCCGCCTCCTCCCTTTCCCTGAAGAGTTCAGTCCTGCTGCTCGGTGGGCAGAGCAAGAGCGGACCTGGTCCTGTCGCGTGGGGCAGCGAGAGCCGGTGGCTCACAGGGCATCAAAGCCCAGACAGAACAAGCAGCGTGTGCAGAGTGTGTGGCAGCAGTGAGGACAGGGACTGTGCAGGGGACTGGCCAGCACCAGGCTTCTCTTCCTTCTCCTTTTGCCCATTCCCATCTCGCCTCCGGTGTGTCGCTTTTCCTTGAGCAGGGAGTGAACATGGAGCAGCAGAGAAGGCCCAGAACCAGCTATTCAAACAGCCACGGTGTGACCCACGGCAGAGCCACTCCACACAATGCAGTGTGTGGCCACAGCCACGCCGGACAGCTTGTGACCGGACAGCCTGTCGCCTCTCAGCCCCGTGCCTCACGTGTAAGGAGGGGACGTCCAGCCCTTGGCACAATGTCCAGCCCATAGTCAGCACTCAGTGGACATTAACTGCTACCACGGTGGCTCTTTCTTCAGGGACTTCACAGTAGCTTTACGTGGGCACAGCCAGAGAAGCCAGCGACGTCCCCGCTGTTGCTGGCTCCACGGTGGGAAACGGGCAGCTGTAAAAGCTCTCAGGGCACTTCAGTTCTGTCTAAATGTCACACACACCAACCCACCGGCCCTGCTACCATACTGTTCAGCCCAGGCGTCCTCAACCTACGGCCCTCGGGCCACACGCGGGTGTTTTTGCCCGTTTGTTTTTTTTACTTCAAAATAAGACATGTGCAGTGTGCATAGGAATTTGTTCATAGTTTTTTTAAAACTATAGTCTGGCCCTCCAGCGGTCTGAGGGACAGTGAACTGGCCCCGTTTATAAAGTTTGAAGACCCCTGGTTCAGGCTGTGCTCTGCGTAATACCCGAACGAAGGCACAAATACACAAGAGTGGTAATACACAAGAGTGGTCACCGAGGCACTGTTCGTGACAGGAAAACCCAGGAAGTTATCCAAGTGAGCATCAACAGGAGAATGGCTAAACATATCGCACTAAGAGAATGAGGCAGGTTGACAGGAACCAACATCAACTACGTCCACATGACGGCAGTGAAGTAAACTGCGGAGTCATGTCTGTGGTGTGATGTTACACGTTCCACGTACAAATAGGTCTACAAAAAATACACATATCCATGTGGGTACAAAATGAGTGTTTTTATGCATGGGAAAAAGTCTGGGAGAGTGGACACCAAACAGCAGTCACTGGGGAGAGTGGGATTGGGGAGAGCAGGAACGTTCACTTCCAGAGTTATATGCTGTTCTATGCTGTTGGAACTGATGAGAACACATGCCAGTGATAACATAAAAACGTCAGTGTGCTTAGGAGATACACACTGAAGCACTTGAGGGTAACGGGTCGTGACAATTGCAACTTGCCTCAAATGCTTCAGTAATAATAAATAATACAGATTTTAACTACATATAATTTATGCTTTATATATGAGAGAAAGAAAATGTGAAAAATGTTAATTGGTGATACAAAATGAAGGGTATGTGAAAGTTCACTGTACTAATCTTGCAACTGTTGTCTGTACTTGAAATATTTTTAAAATTAAAACATAAAACAAATATAAATAAAGATCAAATGAAAGACACTCAAGTTCCCAGGAAGCCCATTGAAGGCGCAGGGAGCAGAGGCCTGAGAGGACCTGCCGCATCTGGAGAGAGCCTCTCGCCCTCCAGAAAGGGCTGGGGTTTAAATCCGGGTTCCAGATGGCTTTATTTTTTCCATGACTTTCCCCCCCACGTATCCAATGTCCTCGCAGTACTGAAGGATCCCAGGATTTCAACCTAGAAAGCATCACAGACGCAGTCTATGGCCTGACCGAGGGACTGAAGGCAGCCTCCTGTTGATTCTGGTGACCCCACGATTGGCTTTTACAGTGAGGCCAGGCCACGGTTCAGGGCACGTGGCTGGGGACAGAGTCTGTCCTCTCACCATCCAGCCACAAAGGCTCGCCCGAGTTTGTGGGAAGGTTCCAGATCAGGCTTCCCAACAGACAGTGTCCTCACCTCCGATGATCTGCTCCAATGGCATCTGTGACTCTGCGAAAACCCTGCTCTCTGCAAAAGGAGCAAGAAAAAGCAATGTCAGCAAACAGGAAAGAACAGGCCCTGCTCTTGCAGGAAGCCCACGTTCACCCCTGAACGCACCGTCCCAGCCAGGCACACGGCACGCCCTCGACACGGCCATCACCCAGGGACCAAGAGACATCTCTACCTAGCTCTTCAGAGTGGGACGGGAATCGATTTTGAGTACAGACAGCTCCCTGACGTTGAGCAATGCCACTTAATTAGAGGGAATGCTGCCGGGACTCCCTGAGCTCCTCTCCCTCAGAGAAATGGACGACTCTGCCTTGGAAACACCACTGCTGTGGGGTCATTCTGAGTCCCCCTGGCACTGTTTGTCCTCTGTCAAAGGAGTAGCACAGAGTAATTATCCCTGCACTCAGAGTGCGCCCCTCAAATCCTTTCTGGATGAGCAATAAATAGATAAATAGCATCCCCGTGATGGGAGCAGGTGGAGTTAACGTCTCCTGACTCCAGTTCCAGCCACACGCGGCCCCACTCACTTCAGAAGGGCCTCCAGCTCCCGCTTGACTCTGCCGACCACGGGCGGGCCCTGGTAGGTGAGCGCCGTGTACAGCTGCACCAGCGAGGCCCCTGCCCGGATCTTCTCCAGCGCGTCCTGCCCGCTGCCGACCCCGCCCACTCCAATGATGGGGACTCTGCCTGCAGAGAAGGACATGGCTACACGGTCAGGAAGGGTGCAAGAACCAGGACCCCGGTTTGGCTTCAGCCCTGCAGCCGCCGCCCCCCAACACGGCGGATTAGGGAACAGTGATTCCAGTGACAGCCCAGGAACCCAGGCCACACACAGGTCCCAAGACACCGAATCCTTGCCTTGGGTAAGCGCGTACATCTCCCGGATGGTTTGCGTTGATAAATCCCGGAGGGGCTTCCCGCTCAGCCCTCCCACTTCAGAGCACAGGGTACCCTGCAGGCTGGCGGGGCGGCTCACTGTGGTGTTCGTGACAATCAATCCATCGACGCCCAACTGCAGTGTGAGATGGAGAACAGTCCTTGAGTTGTGGCACTGAAGGACTCAGAGAAGCTTCTTTGGAGCTCTGAGGCAGCAGCCGGGCCAGGTGCCCGCACCCATGGCCCCCGGAGGTGAGAGCTGCCACAGACCTCACTATCCTTTTCTTGAACAAGTGTCTGAATGAGCCACAATGTGACAACACCAGCCAGCACATACTGGCCACCCGTATCGTTGCACTAGGACAGAGTTTAATCCTTGGAACAACCCACCTTATAGGGCCTTGACTGTGGCACATGCCTGTAGTCCCAGCTACTCAAGAGGCTGAGGCAGGAGGATCGCTTGAGCCCACGAATTTGAGGTTACACTGAGCTATGATGATGCCACTGCACTCCAGCCCAGGCAGCAGAGCAAGACCCTGTCTCAATAAATAAATAAATAATATAGTGTCTTGTCTGAGGCCTCAGTTAGGAAGTGGTGGAACCAAGATTTTTACCTACACCTGCTGGGCTCAGTCTGTGTTCCTGCGACTGTCCTAGCCACAGAGACCTGGTATTCAGAAAGATTGCAGAGAATGAGACAGAGAATACGCTGGTCCCAACTGAGACTGGCCAAGGCTACAAGCACGAGTGTTAAAGCCCTTGCTGGAAGGAGATGAGGAAAGAGTGGAAGGGAGAGGCATGAGAAAAAGGCTCATTCAAACATTTATTGAAACATTCACTTCTTTTTTTTTTTGAGACAGAGTCTCACTTTGTTGCCCAGGCTAGAGTGAGTGCCATGGCGTCAACCTAGCTCACAGCAACCTCAAACTCCTGGGCTCAGCAATCCTCTGCTCAGCCTCCCGAGTAGCTGGGACTACAGGCATGTGCCACCTGCCCAGTGCATTTTCTATATATTAGTTGGCCAATTAATTCTTCTATTATAGTAGAGACGGGGTCTCGCTCTGTTCAGGCTGGTTTCGAACTCCTGACCTTGAGCAATCCGCCCGCCTCAGCCTCCCAGAGAGCTAGGATGACAGGCGTGAGCCACCGCACCCGGCCAGAAACATTCACCTCTTACTACAGGATGAATGACGCCGTGACAGACACCAAACCAGCCTTCAGCAGACAGGAAATCACAAAGGCTGCCGTTCTGGGCTATCCCAGCTGGCCAAATGGCCTCATCAGACAGTGAGAGGTCCCCCCCAGCCCAGGCCCCGACGCTAACCTCTCTCACGATGCTAGCAATGTCCTCCTTGTCCTGAGCCGTGAGGTCAGGGGCAATCTTCACCAGCACAGCCGGCTTTCGTGCTCCCTGCAAGGCCTCCCTCTCCTGCAGCACCTGGGGTGACAAATGGCCAGAGATGGGAACCCCGAGACCACACCTCAGCAGTGCAACTGGGACCTATGGTTGCAGGTCAGTGGGTTTACACGCAAGTTATCAAACTTAAGCATGAGCAATTTTCCCTTTTTAGGAAACCGGCCCTCAGTTACGTGGGGGACCCCATGGAGATGGATTCGATTCAATTCTTTTGAACCAAGCAAAACCCACTGGCATTGGCTAATATCTTACAGGGTCTTTAGACTTTAGTTCCTAAAAAATAATCAAGAAATACTGCACCAAGTACTAGGTGGTGGGAAGTCATTCAATTCATTCACTGTGTTAGGTGCTAGGGACACAGTGATAAATGAGAGAGACATGGTCCCTGCTGTCACGGGCATATGGTTTAACAGCAGGGACAGACAACAGAACAGTTGATAACTATGGCACATAATCAGGGTTATGGTAGAAGGTCGGAGGGTGTGGCAAGCAGGCCACTGGTCCAGGTGTCAAGGACAGCTTCCCGGAGGTGACCCTGCAGCTTCACCCTGGAGAGTGAATGGGAGCGGGCAGATGGGCGAGGCAGTGTCACTGCCCACCTTGGTCAGCAGGCAGCGAAGCTCGGCCTTTCCCTGAAGGCACCGCAGCCCGGCCGTGTTGGGGCTGGACACGTTCACCACCAGGTAGTCGGCCAGGGGGCCCAGCACTCGGACGCCCTCTGCGTAGTCCGCTGCCGCATCCGCCGAAGTCTTGTTCTTCCCCAGGTTGATTCCCAGCGGCAGCCCATCTGTAAATATCGCTGGTCACGATTTTGACCCCACACCACTTTCTGGGCAACATTCCAAGGCCATCTTCGACCAGACAGCCCTCGAACGGCCACGTAGGTCCCCCCTCCGAGGCCCAGCCCCGTTCCGGCCCTGTCTGCTTCCCAGAGAGTACTGTATAGCAGTCTTGGGCAGCTCCAGGGATGTTCCACCACATTTTGCCTTTTTTACTTTTAAAAATGTAATGGAAAATGGAGAAATTAGGAGTGAAAATACTAGTGATCCAAAGGTAGGCCCCATAAATTTAATAAGACTCAGGGTAGACAGGAATCAATATACGTGGGGTGACTTTAATCTCCAGGGATGCTCCAGCAAACAATGTGTAATTGTGAAGAAAAAACACTCCCCAAATCTGACATTGCCTGATGCCCCAGACCTTTCCACCTCACTTCCTGAAATGAATCTGCTATCCATGGGTTTCCTCATCATGCTACCAGGACATCATGCTACCAGTCTCAACCAGGTTGAGACTTCAACCTCCTGGAAGGAGTTTCGGAGGGACCCAAGGAAGAAAATGATCCCCACTGAGCCACAGCCCTGCACAATCCCAGAGGACACCCAGGGCTATGAGCACTCAGTGAATCCTGAGCTACAGCAGAGCAGGGACCCGCAGAGAGTAAACATCAGCCTTTCCAGAGGCAGCCTTCGAAAATGCTTCTTGTTTCCAAAGTAAGTCATGAAGAATATTTTCCCAAATGTTAATATTAGTTATCCCCGAGTGGGAAGGGGTATGAATTACTTTTTCCTCTTTATGCTTCTCTGTATTTACTAACTTTATATCACTAATATACATTATTTGCACAATGAACAAAAGGACAACAGAGTGGACCATAGGAAGATGTCCTGTTCACACCCTAACCACCCACAAGATCGTGGTTGAGCCACTTTGCTTTGCTTACTTCCAGCCTTCCCTAGTTATGATATAACACAGGTTACAGAATGAGGCAGAAACAAAGTGAGTCTTTGCTAAATTGTGAAATTGAGTTAAAATCTTGGAGCCTGGGGTAGAACCAGGAAAATTCCCCTACGGGAGGAGCCCCGAGTTCCTTAGTGGTTTTTTCTATCACTCAGTCATGTTCATTTCACTGGGAATGTTGCCAGTGTTTCTCCCACGGTTCCTCCTAATGAATGAAAAGAGCCCCTCTAATGCAAGTCCGCTTTACCTTCCGTGAGCTTGGCCTGCTTCTGCTGTCTGGCCCGTAACCTGTGTTCCACCGCTGAGAGCCCCTGGCTGTTAAATCCGTATCTGCAGCACACAAGCAGACGGGGAGGGCACGGTTAGAAGGCAAAGGATGTGGACAGAGAGCTCTGTGGCCATTTCCACTCGATGCTTATGACTTTTAAAAACAGAAATGAAAAACAATCAGAGTCAGTTCTTTTTTTGTTTTTGATACAGAGTCTCTCTTTGTTGCCCGGGCTAGAGTGAGTGCCGTAGCGTCAGCCTAGCTCACAGCAACCTCAAACTCCTAGGGTCAAGTGATCCTTCTGCCTCAGCCTTCCAAGTAGCTGGGACTACAGGCATGCACCACCATGCCTGGCTAATTTTTTTCTATATATATTAGTTATTTTTATATAAAAATATTATATTATTATAAATATATTATTTTATTTATTATAAAAATATTATATTATGTTTTCTGTATATATTAGTTGGCCAATTAATTTCTTTCTATTTATAGTAGAGACGGTGTCTTGCTTTTGCTCAGGCTGGTTTCGAACTCCTGATCTCAAGCAATCCATCCGCCTCAGCCTCCCAGAGTGCTAGGATTATAGGCACCCGGCCCAGAGTCAGTTCTTAAACTGCCTGGGATTTCTAGAGAACTTGCCAGAACACCATCTCATACAAAGGGAAAGATTAAAATTCACAAACAAGCCGGTCAGCCAACGAGCATTGGCAACAGTCCAGACTCGGCAGCAGTAGCTGCCCCAGACCTGCTGGATCCCGCGTCCGCTCCTTACGCAGCCACTGGTCCCCCAGCTGAGCCTCGCCACGCTCTGATAATAACCGAAGCTTTGCACCTCCCGCCTGGGCTCCACCCGCGTCCTCCTGGAGCCCATGCCGCTCCACTTCCCCGTGCCCTCTGCCTACGAAATCGCTCCTCTTCCCGGCCAGATCCAGTGCTCCGTCTCCTCCTGCACAGAGCTCCCAGCTGCAGAGGCTCCCCCAGGCTCTTGGCTCTCACAGAGGGCTTTGCACCTGTCCTCCCCTTGGCTCAGGATATGTATGTATGTGTGTATGTTTAAGTTCCCATCCCGGTTATAATCTTCTTGAGGAACAAGCGACACGTCATACCTCTCTATCACCCTGTCACCAAACACCCCCCACAGGCAGGGGCATCGTCTTTGTTTTTAATCCCTGGACCCCCAGCCCCACTATGGGTGGCTGACCTAGTGGCCATTCCCCTACCCTGCCTCCAGTGGAACCCCCCCCCCCATACAGGGGAAGAAGCTAATGACTCTTTCCCAGCCTTGCTGGCAACTGGAACATGAGTGTGGGACCAGGTGTGTGCCCGGCCCTTTTACTGTCTTAATGTCACTAGAATATTTTGAATTGCACATGGGGCTTGCAGAGTTGAGTGAGGGCACTGGAGAAACAGGTGGACGGAGCAAAACTCTCAAGTCCAATAAGCCTAAGCCACACCCACACTCTCCTGCTTTTTAACCTCCATGACTGCAGCTAAGTTATTTAGCTCTCCGAGACTCAGTGTATGCACCTGTTAAACAGAAATAATGACACCTGCTTTCCAGGGCCGGTGTGAGGACAGATGTCTGGCATACTCTAGATGCTCAGAAGGGTTCCTGAATATTCCAAGTGACAGAACAATGTCCATGTCCTATGAGAGAAAAAAGCCGAGAGCCAAGCTGGAAAGAGGCATGCTCTTTTAACTCGGGGTCTGTCGCCCACCTGTTAATGACGGCTTGGTCCTCAGGGAGGCGGAAGACTCTGGGTCTGGGGTTTCCTTCCTGAGGTTTTGGAGTCACACTTCCAATCTCAACAAATCCAAAGCCCATCTTATAAAGTCCATCCACAGCTTCCCCGTGTTTGTCAAATCCTGCCGCAATTCCTACTGGATTTCGGAATTTATGGCCCAGAACTCTCACTTCCTGGGAAGACGATGACAAAAGTCAGAGGTACATAAGGCTAGCCCAGTGTTTCTCAAAGTGTGGTCCCTGGCTTACCTGGGAAGCTTGTTAAACATGGGATTGCCAGGCGCCCCCAAGGCAGGGGAGGGAGTGCTGAGAGAACCTATTTTTAACACAGCTCTCCAGGTGATTGTGATGTCTGCTAGAGTTTGAAAACCATGAGGCTCTGTTATCATCGAGCCTGGGGAGAAAAACAGTGTTTCTACCATGGCTTGAACAGGAGACGGGCACTGTCTTTTCCAACTATCGTTACGATTCATACCTTCTCGTCTACTGTCCTTGGTGGGAGAGAGTGGCTCACTGGCGTCAGGCCCTTGACAGTGCTACTCTGAAACCAGGAGTGTCAAACAACAAAACCCTTTAATCGGCTTAATAAAAGTCAGCTTCAGCTGTGCCCCTCCTCCGCCGGGCTCCTAAGAAGCCCCAACAACTCACACAGACTCTCGTGGGAGCCAGAGGGAGGAGGTGCTCCGCTGGGCAGAATGGATTGCTGGGCTCTGGCGACCTTTAAGAGGAGCAGCTAAAGGGCGCCCAGGGTAAGCGCTATCTGATCCTGGAAGCAGGAGGTGAGAAAGACGCCCCAAGAGTAGTTGTGAAGCTCAAACAAGAGTGCTGCCTAACATAAGTCCTGTAAGTAATATATAATAATCCTTGTGATGTAATGTTATAATATGTTACATATAACAAATATTGCTCATCTTGAACTCTAATTCCCACTGCTAACTTGAGGCTCTGGTTTTAAAAAGGATCAGTCCCAGCTGAGAAATGTTACTCCCAGCTTCACCGTTGCAGTTAATGCATAGGGTGTTCCAAGATACCTACCAGCATGTCAGAGTCCTGAAATGAGGTTCGAGGAAGGAGTCCCAGGGAGGTGCACTGAACGGCCAGCCTGTGGGCTGACTCTGGGTCCAGCAGCCTCTGCAGAGCTGGCATCAAGTGTTGGGTGTAGAAATGCTCATCCCCCGTGGCTGTCAGGTAGGAAGCGAAGACAAATCCTCCACCCCCTAGGATGACCAAAGCGTCCTGGGCCCGCTTCTGGGGGGGGGGAGAAAAAAGCCTTTTAGGGCTCCACCCCTCACCAGGGGCCAGGCTGCTGCGTCCTTGAGTCCTTTGTACTCACAGGTCACATGAAGCGATGTCCCTAGCCTTCTGCTGACACTGGCCTCTACAGTAAGAAGCTGTAGCTACACTTACACACTCCTCTGGCCTTGAAGACTTCGCTGAGGACGCCAGACCAGCCTGCCCGCTAGGGACATGCATTTTTTTTTTACTAGTTAGCCTCATTAGGCAATGCTAATAGACTTCTGTGGGCAGGAATCAGTAAAGTCAGACATCCTTGTTTGCTTGAGACTGACACACGAATTGTCTCACACCTTGTATGACTCTTGAACATCCTGACTTCATGTGGGTAAAAAAAAAATTATCTGTTCATGTTATCTGAGACTTGAGGCAAACTATATTTCACTACATAAACACCAACTATGCACATGGTTTTCATATGCAGTATAATTACCTTGTAAATAGAAGGACAACTGTACGGTTTGGCACAGAACATTACCAACAACTGTGCACCATTTCAGAAAAGCCCATCAGCATTGGTAAGTGTTTTGCCTGGGGTGTCTGATGATACAACACACCTGTAGCGCTCACACCTCTAGAGGTTTAAGCACCCGACTATCACATAATGAAATCTTATTCTAAGTTAATTTATCCTTTACATTTAAGACCATTATGTTGGCTTTTAAAAATTATATGTAGATTTTACACGTTCCTTTTCTGCATGATGGGAAGTTTACAAAATATAAAAAACAAGCTCCAAGTCCTGTGGGATTGAGAACCACTATCCTAGCTCACAAGCAGTTCACAATGCTTTTCTCTCATGCTGCCAGATACTAAATCATTCATTAGTTCAATCTTTGATCACATACTGATTGTGCACTCAAAGGTGGACAAAACAGATCTAGTCCCTGCCCTTATGGAAGGTGCAGTCGCATGAAGAGACAGAAATCAATGATCATGCAAATATGTTGCTAAGAAGGAAAGAAAGTATAAGGTACTTGTAAGTATAAGGACCCAATCTAATCTGAGGTAAGAAAAAGCTTCTTTGATGAAACAACATAAAGCTTTTATAAAGGATTTTATAAAGTAGTTTATTGAAAGGATAAATAGGAGTTAACTAGGAGGCAGTAAGGGGAGGACATTCTGTCCCTGAGTGACAGAAGAGAATGAGAAGGGGAGAAAGTTTGTTTAGAACTAAGGAGTGAGAGAAAGCAATAATTAAGATGAGGCAGGAGAAATAGGTGAAAGTCTTGGCCACAATACTTATGTATTGTTCCCTAAACCAAGAAGTGACAATCAGATTTACTTTTAAGGATCCCTCAAAGCTGATGTACTGCAGATCAAGTATTCACTGTAGCCCTGGAGACTGCAGGAACGCCCCTGATGTCAATCAACAATATTGGAGCACTTAGTACATTCCAGATCCTGGAGATTCAACTAAGAACTCGCATTGAGCTTGCGCCCTAACAAAACTTTATCTAGAAGGATTGGGACCATGTCTTGGTCTATTTTCATTCTGCCTTGGCCCCTGCACACACGCTAGGCGGTCGTGTTCGCTAAGCGCCCCTGTGCCAGGCCGGCAGGCGCTGACGCGTCAGCCTCTGGCCATCTGCTGTCCGCACACACCTGGCCGAGGACACGTGCGAGTACACGAGCATCGGCAGGTGCCTCCAGAGACACGCAAAGCTCCCGAAGGGGCCCGCGCGCTCGGCGCCGCCTCCTGTCCCCATCTCACCCCAGTCCCCGCCCGGACTCTCGCCGCAAGCCTCAATTGCGGGACTCACTTTCAGATGTCGCCACGCCATGCTCCTTCCCGCCACTGGGGCCACCCCTGCCTCGCTTCCACTGGAGGAGATGGGGCGCCCCGCCTCCACCTCCGAGTGGGGTCGCCAACCCACCAATCGCTGCGCAGAAGGGTGGGGTGAGCGCCTCGGTGGCGGGGGAGGCTGCGCTCCACCCCGAAGTCCTGATTGGACGCGCGCGCGCGTGCGCAGTCGCGGCGACCGCGCCTCTTCCGCCAGCCCGCCCGCGCGCGTCTTTCGGTGTCTGTGGTGAAGTGTTGCTGTGCGGCCGCGTCCTCTGCAGTCCCGCGCCGCCGGGTCAGAGAGTCCCTGAGGAGCCGAAGCTCCAGGAGGAAGGAAAACCTTCCTAGAAGCCCCTGGAGTGCCGAGTGCCGTCCTCCGTGGTCCCGGAAGAGTTAGCGCCGAACCCAGGGGGCTTCCCACCCCGGCCCGCCGGAGAGGCTGTCACCCCCCACCCTGGCTGCCTGTCCAGGCGAAGACACGGCCCCACACGGTTGTCTTCGTGCCGCGGGCGCGTTGTGACTTTGGTGGCCACTTCCTGTGAACTGTAGCTTGCGGTGTATACATACATGAAAACAGCGTGTCTTATACCATAAATATGTAGTCTTTGTCAATTTAAAAAGCAGATTTCACTGCTGTGTTGATGTAAAGAATATGTTAATCTACACATTTTCCTTCTGCTTAGGAGTTTGTCTTTCGATTTTAAAAGAAATACTGATGTTTTCTTTAGCCCCTGAAAATGTCATGGGCCCTTGGCCCTGTCCCTTCTGGCTAAGGTGGCCCTAGTTGTGCCTTGGCATTCTGGTGTAATAGGTGTGGAAGCTGGATTTTTTGCGTGTTTTGTTTTGTTGGGTTTTTTTTGAGACAGAGTCTCACTCTGTTGTCCAGGCTAGAGTGCCGTGGCGTCAGCCTAGCTCACAGCAACCTCAAACACCTGGGCTCAAGCAATCCTCCTGCCTCAGCCTCCCAAGTAGCTGGGACTATAGGCATGGGCCACATGCCCAGCTAATTTTTTCTATGTATTTTTAGTTGGCCAATTAATTTCTTTCTATTTTTAGTACAGTCTGGTCTCGCTCTCGCTCAGGCTAGTTTTGAACTCCTGACCTTGAGAGATACGCTGCCTCGGCCTTCCTGAGTGCTAGGATTACAGGTGTGAGCCATTCTGCCCAGCCTGGAAGCTGTTTTGTAAAACAGTTTCTAATCAACACCCTGGGTGGGCGGCTCTGCTTGAGTGTAGGATATTACTGGGATTTGTGCTGACCTAGTGTTGTCACTTTACAATCCACTAGAGCAATTGTGTCCCAATCTAGAACTTTAAAATCTCTTAACAATGTCCTGACTGTTGAAGAACTTCTGTAGCCTTAGTATTAATCATATCAAACTTACTGTGGGAAGCTCTACACCTGTCATTTTCAGCCAGTTGTGTTCCTTCCATCAGCTAAAATAGTTGGAGTATTGTCATAGTAGAAATTAGAACAAAAGAGGGAGGATGTATCTAACTCAAGCCATTTTTCAACTTCATCAATTGCAGGAAGGTACCAAATTGGAATAAATTCATAGACTCACTGGGACTTAGAGATAGTCTACACCAATAATTCACATGCTAGGTGTCTCATGGTCTATATACAATGGAAATAACTGAAAATATTTATCAGACTAAAAATTATGCTTATCAACCTGTCTTTTATACTTTACTGAAATAAGTTGATTCAGCATAATTTAATTAACAAATTATTACTCATGCTAGACAAAGGACTATATGTTGGTTCTTCAGTTCTAAGCTTTTTTTTTTTTTTTTTTAAAGAGATGGGGTCTCACTATGTTGATCAGACTGGACACTTTGCATCATTTAAACTAAACCTTTTAAGCCGGGCGCGGTGGCTCACGCCTGTAATCCTAGCACTCTGGGAGGCTGAGGCGGGCGGATTGCTCGAGGTCAAGAGTTCGAAACCAGCCTGAGCAAGAGTGAGACCCCGTCTCTACTATAAATAGGAAGATATTAATTAGCCAACTAATATATATATAAAATTAGCCGGGCATAGTGGCGCATGCCTGTAGTCCCAGCTACTCGGGAGGCTGAGGCAGCAGGATTGCTTGAGGCCAGGAGTTTGAGGTTGCTGGGAGCTAGGCTGACACCAGGGCACTCACTCTAGCCTGTGCAACAAAGCGAGACTCTGTCTCAAAAAAAAAAAAAAATTCTATAAACTAAACCTTTTAGTGATAAGAGTGCTGTGTTCTAGATAAAGCTTTTGTTTCTTTTGAGACACTGTCTAGCTCTGTTGCCCTGATTAGAGTACAGCGACCCCATCATAGCTCCCTGCAACCTCAGACTCCTGGGGTCAAGTGATCCTCCTACCTCAGCCTCCTGAGTAGCTGGGACTACATGCAGTGGACCACCATGCAGGGCTAATTTTTCTATTTTTTGTGGGAACAAAGTCTTGCTCTTGCTCAGGTTGGTCCTGAACTCCTGAGCTCAAGAGATGCTCCCAGCATGGCCTCCCAGAGTGCTAGGATTACAGGCGTGAGCCACTGTGCCTAACCAGTAAAGCATGTTTTTTTTTGTTTTGTTTTTGTTTTTGCCCCACCACCCCCAATAAAGCATGTATTGAGAGAGTATATGTCAAGTACCATGGAAAGTGTTGAAAGAGATTATGGGGCTGTGTATAATACCTGAGGTGACTCAGAGATTTCCTCAACATCAAGGGTCACTTAAAAACGCTTGAAACATACGTCTGTCTATGAAGCTGTTTGGAAATTGAGACTTCGTGAACTTTGAAAACAAAAGCATCCTGTACTCAAATGATTCCATTGTAACACAGTCTTAGTAAGGGCGGAGTGCTCTGCTCAGAAACCTTCCAGATGAACTGCAAGCTCTCTATCCTGGTGTATGAAACATTCTCATCTCATTTTCTGGCCAGGGTTTTCACTGCTGTCCCACCAAGTAACCCCTATTCATATGTGTACGTGTGGAATTATTTCATTCTCTTTATAAATACTTTCCACTTTCCCACCTCTGAATTTACTGACATTGACTCTTCTGACAAGAGTGCTTTTCATCTGTCTAAATATGACCATCCTTATATATTCAGTTCACTTGCTGGAAATAATTTCTTCCTAATCTTAACCTTCATAACAGTTAAGTTGTCCCTCTCTGCTGGCACGTTCATTGTCTTTATTAATCACAATTATTGTGTCTCTTCTTCCCTACTTAGACTTTTTTTTTTCTACTCCACCAGGCAATGCAAACTTAGACTTTTTGAAAGTAGGGATCTTTTTGCTATAGCAAAGTATAGCATCTTTTTGAAAGATGCTATATTTATCTTTCATTTGATTGCTGTATTGTTTTTGAACTCAAAGGATGTATTCTTGGAGTCTGTGCTTCAGAAAATTTTTAACTTTGGCCACTTCTATAGTGATTTTTTAAAAGTAACATAAGCATCATTTAGACCATTTGGGTAACCAGCTTAATCCTGAAATCTGCCAAGCAATTTCAGGACTCACATTTGTTTGCATTTATGATCAATGTTTGGCACCAAGAAAGAATGAGCTGTGGTATATAAATGGTGGATGAGCAAGAGATAGATTCCAAATGACCTGCTGTATGAACAAAAGTTTTTCAGTCAAAGAAAAATGGTGAGAGAATTGAATCTTCCCCATAGAATAGAGTAGTGTGCATGCCACATTCAAAGGACCTGTATAGTCATGGGCCAGAACCATGTTTATCTGCTATTTAGTGCAGCAAATGTGAATTTCCTTGGTTTCCGGTTTTGTTTGTATTTAATCTGTATTCATTCTTCCATTCAATATTTATTCTTTGGTTTTTATGATTGTGTGTGAGCTTTAGGATAGCGTTTATGCCTAGTTTGGTTTGCATGAATTTAAAAAATAGTAATTTAAATCAGTCCTAGGGGTAGCAGATAGGTAGGGTGAACGAGTCTACAGATCTAATGTACAACATGAGGACTATAGGGTGATAAAAATGTGCTGTGTATGAGATTCATGCTAAATGAGATTTTAAATGCTCTTGCCACACACAAAAATATGGGTAACTGGGTTAAATAATGGACATGTTAATTTCGTATACTATAGTAACCTTCTTACTATCTATATCCCATAACATTTTGTATTCCTAAAATATACACAATAAAATTTATTTCCAAAAAATCCTAGAGGTCTGTAAGAATGGTTTTATTTGTTTGTTTTTTTAATAAAAGTATGTTATCCATTTTTTTAGCAATGCTAAAAATTGATTTAGATATTCATTATCCTCTACCCTCTAACAGCTTAAACTTAGCTTCATGGTAGATCTGTATTTGCTAAAGGCATAGCCGGTTGTGTAGACACAGATGGTGATGCCCAGCAATAAAGGCTCATTGCTTTGTTGATTTCTGCAGTTCGCTTTCAACATATAAGAACTGCACCTGGATCCACAAAACAGAACAAAACCTTTTGTCTGCTTGGTAAATTGTTCCCAATTCATAAAAGAATAATACTCATAAGACAAACCCACTAAGATGTAAATATATATTTAAAGGGCCAGGCAGCTGCTGAACCTCCACACTTTGTCTTGCTCACAGTTCACAGGGAACATGTTGTTCAGAGGAAGAACCTGGGTTTGGTTATACATCAGGACAAGTATCATTCTAGGAAGTGAACTAGGTAGTCCGGAGCTACCTGAGAGAAAGAAAAATCTTTGTTATCAGTTTAACAGATTTAACTGCAGCTTTGAGGAAGCAGAAAATTACTGTCGTGCCCACCAAGGACAACTTGCTCATACTTGGAACAAGGGAGTTGAGGGTTTCCTCTCACACATTTTGGACGAAGGAAAGAAGTGGTGGATTAGGGAAAACTTTAAGGCAAGTAAGCATCGTGGGGAAAACCACCCAGGTAAGGCTCTGGGTCAGTGTTTAGGAAGGAACCTCCCTCACATTTTATTTTGGAACAGGAGAAAGAAAACAATTTTGATCTTTCTGCCTTTGTATGCAGAAAAATCAATCACTTTACTTCATTACCATCCTTCCATTAAATATTTTTGTGTGCTACCGACTTCGATTTGTCTGTAACAAAGGTGACGAGATTTTTCTCAGAGCCTATCTAAAGTTAACTTACCTAACATTTCACTAAAAATTGTGCTAGGTTATAAAGAGGGACACTTTTTATGGTCTTTTTTTTTTCCTCCCCTAGTAAACATCTCTTTGCTATTCTGGGCTCCAAGTTTCCTAATGTAAAAACTAGGGGAACGACTATCGACCTATTTTCTCTTACGTAGTAGTTTCAAAGTTATGTGCCATAATCTTGCAAGTTTTAGAAAAAAAAACTTCCAAGGCATTATATACTCATGATCTCCATGAACACATTACATAGGTAAGTTAATACTGAGCCTTATGGTAAAGAACACCTATGATAAAATAAACAATCTATAATATGTGGGCAGAAATCCTAAATTTTCATTTATGGGAAGCCAGCCATACTTGGTTTGCATATATATTTTTTAATGTCTGACTTTTAAGTATGAAGCTCAACTGGATCTGGTCTCCTCTCAACAGATGTCGCAGGCCCAGCCCATCCGCCAAAGCCCTCTGGCTGCACCTACCTGTCCGAAGACTTGAGAGGGATCTCATCTAAAAAGGACAAGTGCTCACGGAAATATTATTTCATTTGCCAGACTGGTAAGTAATGAAGTTATGTGCTACCAAAGACCCAAACTTTTAAAACCGATTCTAAATAAGAAGCATGTGTTGGGAGTATTAGTTAAACAGTCTGTGGGTGATACACCAGAGGGTGGACATAAGGATTCTGGTTTTGCTGATATGGATCAGAATGAGAAACCGTGTTCATTTGGAGTGACCAACCGTATGCATCCCACACTGGTAGTTAGAAAAGAGTCGGCACCTTGATGTTCCCCTCATGTTTTGATGTGGGCAGAGTGCGGAAGAAATTGTATTGGTGACCCTCGTGTTCCACCTGTACACCCCTAATCCATTTGGCACTGGGCTTTAGAGGATGAAAGGGGAAGTCTAAGGAGGAAAAGAGAATACCGTGTAGGAAAATGGGAAGACAAAAGTGAGGAGGTGGCCGGGCGCGGTGGCTCAAGCCTGTAATCCTAGCACTCTGGGAGGCCGAGGCGGGCGGATTGCTCGAGGTCAGGAGTTCGAAACCAGCCTGAGCAAGAGCAAGACCCCGTCTCTACTATAAATAGAAAGAAATTAATTGGCCAACTAATATATATATATATAAAAATATTACCCGGGCATGGTGGTACATGCCTGTAGTCCCAGCTACTCAGGAGGCTGAGGCAGCAGGATCGCTTGAGCCCAGGAGTTTGAGGTTGCTGTGAGCTAGGCTGACGCCATGGCACTCACTCTAGCCTGGGCAACAAGCGAGACTCTGTCTCAAAAAAAAAAAAGTGAGGAGGTTGTTAGCAGATCAAGGTTAGCTTCCTTAGAAGTTGTGGATCAGAATTAAGCTACATGTGTATGTATCCGTGTATGTGTGGTTGCTGCTGTTGTTTTTAATTAAGCAGTGTTTCTGCTGGTGATGCATCCGCTTTCATACTTACATAAAGCATTTATTCTTAGCTCAGTGAATTCTCAGAGACCTCTTAGGATGTCTCAGATTGTCTAGGTAGAATTTTTGTTTCACATTTTAAAACACCACAAATACATTCTTATTAAAACATGAAACATGTATGGGTAACTAAAACGAGATACATTGCAATCTTTCTCCTACTTAAAGATAACGGCGACTGTCTATGCAAATGATTCCCAGGAATCTACAAATCTCCTGGAACTAATAAACGAGTTGAGCAAGGTCACAAGATGCAACATAAACGTACAAAAACCACTTGTGTACTGTACTAGGAATGAGGATATAGATACCGAGATTTAAAATACAATACTGTTTGACAATTTTTCCCCAAAATGAAATAGGTCCAAATGTAACAAAACATATATCAGATTTGTATGCTTAAAAACAACAAAATGGTAACGAAAGAAATCAAAGAATATTTTAGTAAAAGGTCTGTGTTCAAGGATTCGAAGACTCAGAATAGTAAAGATGTCAATTGTCCCCAAACTGATATATAAGTTTAACATAATTTCTTTTTTTGAGACAGAGTCTCACTCTCTTGCCCCAGCTAGAGTGCCGTGGCGTCAGCCTAGCTCACAGCAACCTCAATCTCCTGGGCTCAAGCGATCCTCCTGCCTCAGCCTCCCAAGTAGCTGGGAGTTACAGGCATGTGCCACCATGCCTAACTAATATTTATATATATATATTTTTTAGTTGCCCAGCTAATTTCTTTCTGTTTTTTTTTTTTTAGTAGAGATGGGGTCTCTTCTTCCTCAGGCTGGTCTTGAACCCCTGAGTTCAAACAGTCCTCCCGCCTCTTCCTCCCAGAGTGCTAGGATTACATGCGTGAGACACCATGCCCATCGTGCTTAACAGAATTTCTACCAAAGTTTCTACAAGAATATTTATAAATATAGACATGATTATTCTAAAATATACATAGAGGCCAGGTGCAGTGGCTTATGCCTGTAATCCTAGCCCTCTGGGAGGCCGAGGTGGGTGGATTGCTCAAGGTTTGGAGTTCGAAACCAGCCTGAGCAAGACACCATCTCTACTAAAAATAGAAAGAAATTAATTGGTCAACTAAAAATATATATTCAAAAAAATTAGCCGGGCATGGTGGCGCATGCCTGTAGTCCCAGCTACTCGGGAGGCTGAGGCAGGAGGATCGCTCGAGCCCAGGAGTTTGAGGTTGCTGTGAGCTAGGCTGACGCCACGGCACTCACTCTAGCCTGGGCAACAAAGCGAGACTCTGTCTCAAAAAAAAAAAAAAGGTCATCACCTGACCCAAGAATGAGGATAAGGGAGGCTCCTAGCTGTTGGGTGTTGAAGTGGGAGAGAGGCACCCAGGAGAGTGGAAGAGTGAATAGACTCAAGACTAACATGGTTGTCAGGCCGAGTGAAGGCAGGATCCCAAATTCAAGTTAAGATACAGTCAATGTGGCTATGTGACTGTCCCCAGCCATGTTCCACCATGTCTCAGCCATGTCCAGTGTGTATGAGAAACTGTTGTGCGTAGACGCAAAGAGGCATGTGCAAGAATGTGATTGCCCACTTCTGAACTCTTGTATCACTACCGATGAGAGTTACAGAGTTCAAAGAAGAGTATTACACTCAGTATATAATTTGTTAAAATGAACTTAATTCTCTGTCTTCTCAGTGTTGTCCCAATTGGTGGACCTCATTTGCGGTGTAGAATAGTACAAGGTGAAGTAACTCCTCCAGACCAAAAAAAGCTACTTCAGAATGCTTGTATTATTGTTTAAAATATTGGAGAGTAGTGGTTAATTTGCATTTTCCTTATTATCATAGATGTGCATGGAATGATTATAGATTCACAGCTAGAGCTGTAACCTATACATTAACTTTTATATTGGCCTCCAAATAGATTTCATTCCCGATCAAAATGCCAGTCATGAAAGAAATGAAGGTAATTTCCCTTTATGCCAAAGACCCAAGAAGACAGAGGGAGATGTTGCAATACCAAGAAACGACATGAACCCAGGTAATGTGTTGGTCCTCTAGTGGCGTTAATATCAGTGAAATCAATTCCTGCCTAAAAAGTGCACAAGACTAAATTAATGCAGAAACTTGTTATCACAACATGCACCAAATAAATATTTGTTGCATTCTATTTTAGCTAATCTTACTATTGCAATCTTTTGTTTCTTTTATATGGTTTGTTTTATATGCTGCTTTTCTATTTAATTTTAATTTTATTTTTTTTACATGTCCAGATTAAAAAGGATATGCTTATTTTCTTGATAAGCCTTTGGCCATCTTCTTTTCACATACGCCCAAATAAATTTTGTGGGTGTTTTTGCCCACAAGATTTTTCCATCAAAAAAGAGAAAAGTTGTCTTGAAGTCCTTGCAAAGTCTTTCAAATTATAATGTTCTCCTTTTAAAAAAATTGAAAAAGAAATACTATTTGGGGAAGATGGATTAGCCTGAAATTACCTCAATGAACATCAGTGGATGATTGATTATAGAGATCACCTGACAGAAAGAGTAAAAAGATAAATTTAAAGTGTATCTACGAGGCCGGGCAGTGTCTCACTCCTGTAATCCTAGCACTCTGGGAGGCCGAGGCGGGCAGATTGCTCGAGGTCAGGAGTTCAAAACCAGCCTGAGCAAGAGCGAGACCTCATCTCTACTATAAATAGAAAGAAATTAATTTGCCAACTAATATAATATAGAAAAAATTAGCCGGGCATGGTGGTGCATGCCTGTAGTCCCAGCTACTCAGGTGGCTGAGGCAGCAGGATTGCTTGAGCCCAGGAGTTTGAGGTTGCTGTAAGCTAGGCTGACGCCACGGCACTCACTCTAGCCTGGGCAACAAAGCGAGACTCTGTGTGAAAAAATAACAATAATAATAAAGTGTAGCTAGTGATTACTCCTTGGGTATTACGTCACAGCTGCAAGTGTTGGATGTGCTTATCAAGAAGCCCTTTAAATATCACTTAAATGAACAATTTAGAAAGTGTTGTTTAGAGACATGAATATATAAATGTAAGGAACAAATGTAAACACCAAGTTTTATGAATGGCTTGTAAATGTGTCCTTGTGAGTTGGGAGAAAATGTTTAGTGATAGCCTTAGGTGGAAATAAAGACGATAGAATTTAGAAAACTGGTAAATTATTCGAAAAGTTCTGATTATAAATAAAGCAATGGTGTTGATAATGCACATGCAAAGTTTGAGTTAAACTATGTCATGAAATGTGACTTTCATGAGAGCAATATTTCTAAATACGTGATCAGATAATGTGATTTTTAAATATGCCTTTGTAAAACTAAGTTATTTAATCAAATAAGTAGACATTTGATTTTTTTTTCACCTATATCCTTCAAGTTTATATGGCTAAGCTTCCCCCAAACAACTTTTTAAAATCTGCTTATTGGGAAAAGAATAGATTGCCTCATGGGGGGGGTGCCTAATATTTATATATGTATGGTCCTTTAAATTTTTTTGTGTCATTTTAAGTGTCTCTCTTAAATTCCACATAGATGGATGTGATTTTATCTACTCCAAGAATCTTTATTTTCTTATAGTACTATTTATCACATTTAGAATATCTTGGTAACAAATATCATTTCTTGCCTTCCGATTCTAATGTTTCCTTGCTACTTTCTTCTGTCTTTGGTTGAAACTTTGTTCTTCAATATTCTGCTTGTTTGTTTGCTTGAGACAGAGTCTCACTGTGTTGCCCAGGCCAATGTGCAGTGGCATCATCATAGCTCACTGCAGCCTCAAACTCCTGGCCTCAAGTGATCCTCCTGCCTCAGCTTTCCAAGCAGGTGGGACTACGAGCTCACGCCACCACACCAGGCTAGTATTTTTCTATTTTTGGTAGAAACGGGATCTCGTTCTAGCTCAGGCTGATCTCAAACTCCTGAGCTCAATCAGTCCTGCCTCAGCCTCCCAGAGTGCTAGGATTACAGGTGTGAGCCACCACTCCTACCCTCAATATTCTTTTAATTGTTTACCTTTAAGGAGTTGTTCTTTTCAAAAACACATTCTTAGACCTATGTTTCCTAATTGTCAGGCTCTGGGATGAAACATTCTCTTTAGAGACCCCGTCATCTGGTTAGGGGAGTGTAGCACATGTCACTTTTTCCTCTCCACGTGCTTCTGCCCAAGGTTCTGTTAGTATAATCTGTGGTTTTTATTTGGGTTATTATTATTCTCTTCATATTATACAGCTTCTGTCAAGAATGCTTTTTTATTGAAACAGATGTTCAACACTAATTTAGAACTCATTTCTACTTTTAAGATTTTGTATTTATAACCCATCATTTTATACCATAACTTTCCTTTGCTTGAGTTCTTAATTTTTGCCTCATCTCTATTCCAACTGTCTTTTCAAGAAAGATCTATTGGTAGAAATATTTTGGGGATCTCCTGAATAGTCAAAAGAGGTCGGTCTTGTCCCTTCCTAGGGAACCATACTTTAGCAGAATGTACTCATTAAAATACTAGATCAGCTGCCAAAGGCCAAAACAGTAGCTTAAGCAGGAGAGTAGCTCATTTCTCTTTAACATACAGTCCAAACGCGCAGTCCAAAGATCACAGGGACTCCACAGTTCAAGGGACCCAAGCTCGCTCTTCCTTGTTCTGTTATCATCCATGTGTAACTTCTATCTTCTGATCTAAAAAAGCTGCTTTAGCCGCCCACTGGAAGTTCACATTCCAGCAAGTGAGAAGAGAAGAGAAAATAGAGGGCCTGATTTTTTTTTTTTTTTTTTTTTTTTTAGGGCACAGCCTGGACTTGATCACGTGGCCACATGTAGCTGCAAGGCAGCCTGGGAAATGTAGTTCTTAGTGGAGTCCTTAGCTGGGATATCATGTTCATATGTTAATAGAAGGAAGAGGACATAGTGGAGAATGATTAGCAGACTCTGCAGTGAAAATGATATCTAATTATATGGTCATAGTCTTCCCTTCAAAACTTTGTAGACATTTTTCCCTTGTCCTTTGGCATTATATTAGGGTGAAAAAACTAAGGCTAGTTTTTCTTATTATAGGCACTCTTTCCCTACCCCCATCAGATTACTTGTAGAATTTTTTGTAATCCAGGCATTTTCTTAGTATGTTACCTTTCACTAATTTTGGCTAGAATGTAATGTTACATATACCCATCTTTTTTGGCTGAGGAAAGTTGTATTCTACCCTTTTATGACTTCTGATTCATTTGTTCTGGTTTTGTCCTTAAGCAGTAGCAGGTGTTTATGTACTGCCCGGCTGGTTTCTGTCCTCCATATCTTTCCTGTCATTCCTTTTAATTGAAAACGATGGTTTTGTACTCATCTCCCTTTCTGTTGCAGGGTGAGAGAACTCCTAACGTTCATCCTTCACATCAGCAACTTGATTTTTCCACATCGGCTCTGTTCTGTATTAACTCCAGTGTGGATTTGAATTTTCATGTAGCATTTTTAGTTTTCTTGAAATCCTCTATAGAATTTATTTCTCTCTTAACCTATCTCACTCTGGTGCATCTTCGCTTCAGTTGTTTATCCTTAAGATTTTCTGTTCTGTCTGGGTACAGTGGCTCCCGCCTGTAATCCTAGCACTCTGGGAGGCTGACATGGGGAAGTCACTTGAGTTTAGGAGTTCAGGACCAGCCTGAGCAAGAGCAAGACCCCATCTCTACTAAAAATAGAAAAAATTAGCCGGACATAGTGGTGCACACCTGTAGCCCCAGCTACTCAGGAGTCTGAATCAGGAGGATCACTTGAACCCAGGAGTTTGAGGTTGCTGTGAGCTAGCCTGATGCCACTGCTCGGGCAACAGAGCAAGACTCCGTCTCCAAAAACAAAAGAAGGCGGCTTAGAGAAGCCTGACCAGAATTTCGTTAAAGGGAGTGTCTTTGTTAATCCCAAATGCTAGCATTAGCCTGTTGGTCAGTCATGGTTTATAGTAAAGTGACTTATCTTTTTCTCTCTTCCTGAATCTTTTAGAAAAAAGCAGGGAGATGATTTATGTAAGCTGTAGTCATAAGCTATTTGCAACTAATGTTACTATTAAAAACCCAACTCTGGGCCAGGTGCAGTGGCTGGTTCCTGTAATCCCAGCACTGTGGAAGGATCAGCTGAGGCCAGGACAGTTCATCACAGTTAAAGGAAAAGGGAAAAGGGAAAAGCAGCTCTGGAACCAACCAGGTCTTTGGACTCAGCACCCAGTCTTTTTATTCAACCCTTGTCATCTTTGCCTTGTTAGACTCGATTTCTGATCAGAAGAGTGTCCCAGAACTGTGTCCTCGCCGCACAGTAGTGCCTGCGGTGGTTTTGCTGCTAAATACACACATCAGTCCTATAAACAACAGAGAGAATGTTACAAGAAAAGATACAGGGCAAAGTAGCCTTCCCGTAGCTGGGTACATTTTAATAGGTCTTAAAAGCCCGTGCCTTGAAGGAAGTCAACCTAAGCTAATAGCAAACAGAGTTAAAGCCTGGATAGTGTTGCTGCCCAGCCAGGTCATTTGCCTGCTGCTCCGAGAAGCAGCCAGTACGCTAAGTCAGCAGGGTTTACTGCAGAGAAAGTCTTTATTCTGCATAGCATTAATGGGGAGACAGGAGAAATTTCTCAAATCCACCTCCCTGAGAACTTGGTAGACTGGGTTTTTAAGGATAGTTTGACAGGCAAGGGATTAGGCAATTAGGTTTGTTAATTGGGGCAAACTCCTAGGGATGTAGAAATCATCTTGTGTTGCTCCAGTCCCTGGGATCACAATTGTAGTTGAGTTGATTTCTTGGTATGGGCAGCTGGTCTGGGTGAGCCAGTCGATCCACTAGGATGCGGGGCCTGGAAGATTTCTTAAAGACTGCCTTTAGGTTTTGAAAAGGTGATGTTATCTCCGGAGAAAGTTAAGAATCTTTATGGACACCAGCTATGGGGAGAAAGTTAAGAATCTTTACAACCCCCAGCTGTGTGGGTCTTGTGTAGCAATTACAGAGGGACAGTTACTAATTATTGTTATTTTTTAGCTAAGCCTGTGCATTATTTTTAGCTAGGCCCTTACCACATTTCCCACCTTGCACCCCGTTATTGATGGGTGATGTCAATAATGCCTTCAGATCATGAGTTTTCTATTGGAAAATGTGGAAACAGAAAGCAATACAATAATCTGGTAAAAATTTTGTAAGTGATCATTTTCCAAATGATTTAAAAAAAAAAAAAAAGTGACGCCACGGCAGTCACTCTAGCCTGGGCTTTGTTGCCTAGCTTACAGCAACCTCAAACTCCTGGGCTCAAGCACTCCTCCTGCCTCAGCCTCCCCCAAGTGGCTGGGACTACAGGCATGCGCCACCATGCCCGGCTCATTTTTTCTATATATATTAGTTGGCCAATTAATTTCTTTCTATTTATAGTAGAGATCGGGTCTCGCTCTTAATCAGGCTGGTTTCAAACTCCTGACCTCAAGCAATCCGCCCACCTCAGCCTCCCAGCGAGCTAGGATTACAGGCGTGAGCCACTGCACCCTGCCCAAATGATTTTTTGATTAATAAAGAGCTCCTCTTTGGTTAAAATTATGGGACAGATAATTCTGCAGTAATATTTATATACTGGTAACTTTATGATTGATTTAATGTTTATTTTTTTGTACAGAGGTCTTTGAACAGTATATAAATGGATTAGGCATTAATGATTTGTAATTTTTTGGCTCCAGAATTCTCCTTTGTCTACAGATTTATCATCAGTGGGAAAATACTCACTTTGGTGTCCTGTGTAAAACAATTCACATTGTTTGTAGCCACAAATAAGACATCCTCAGATAAAATAGAAGTATTTCTATCCTAGACTTTTATTTGAACTTAATCCGCTTTCTTTTTTCCATAGAATTTCTTTGCTTCGTGTGTCACCATTCTGATCCTGCTGAACGTGTAAGTATTTACATACCTTCACAATACACATCTTGGAGTATCGATCTCTTTGTCATACCTAGTAGGTCCTGCCAGAACCGTTCTCTGTCTCACAGAGAGCTCTGGATATAGTTTTCTAATAATGAAAGTACTAAAGTGCAGGAGAGAATTGGGTTTGATGGGTACTTTATTAAAGAAAATTTTAAAGCCTATCCTTAGCTTTCATGTTGGTATAATTATCATTTATTTGTTGGTTGGTTATTCCCTGCTTCATTCCAGAAAGGACTTGTGGCATCTTACAACAATATATACAATGTAATAAAATGTAAAAGCCAGAAAGAAGAGAAATCGGAGAGAAAGGAAAATAAAGGCAGGAGCATAATCTATGAAATTTCACCTTCAAGAAATCTCTCAGCCTTCTTGCCTTTGTGTCCTACATAGAAACCCTTTAGTGATCGGTGGCTCACACCTGTAATCCTAACACTCTGGGAGGCCGAGGCGGGCGGATTGCTCAAGGTCAGGAGTTCAAAACCAGCCTGAGCGAGATCCCATCTCTACGAAAAATATAAAAAGAAATTAATTGACCGAGTAAAAATAAATATACAAAAAATTAGCCGGGCATGGTGGTGCGTGCCTGTAGTCCCAGCTACTCGGGAGGCTGAGGCAGGAGGATTGCTTGAGCCCAGGAGTTTGAGGTTGCTGTGAGCTAGGCTGACGCCACGGCACTCACTCTAGCCTGGGCAACAAAGTGAGACTCTATCTCAAAAAAAAAAAAAAAAAATCTCTTTGACCTTCGTAGTGTTTCTTAAAAGGAGGAGATAAAATCCCAAAGTGAAACGTGCAACATCCTATCCACAAGGATGAGAAGTCAAGACAGAGCTCTGTCTCATTAAAATAACTCTTTTAAGCCTCTTTGCATGATTTACTTTTTCACAACTTACCACTCTGTCCAACTCAGTATATGAGTTATTGACTGTGCTTCTTTGGGGTCCTTCTTTCTTTACGGGGGCTCTTGTGCCACATAAAACTTGTATTAAATAAATTTGTGTCTTTTTACTCCTGTTGATCTACCTTCTGTCCATTTCATTCTCGGACCCCAGGAGGATGGGGATGGAGTTTTGTCACCCCTACAAAATGTCACCGAAGAAAACAGATTTTTGACTGTAAGGACTTCTCAGAGCCTTTTCTGTGTCCCCAATCTAACTCCTCCTCACCATTGCCACCACTGTCACACCTTGCTCCAAGCCTCGTCACCATTGCCACCTTGTCACAACTTGGTCCACTGTCTCCCATCCAAACTTCTGCTTTTGCCTCCTGCTGATCTCTGGGCTTCTACTGTTGTCCCCTTTTCTGTCCTCTCAACAGAGTGGTTGAGCCTTTAAGATAGAAGTCACTTCATGCCACTGCTCTGCAAGGCCCCCAATATCTTCCCATGTCATTCAAAGTCAAGTCCATACTCCCTTCAATTGCCTGACACATGACACCCCCCACCCCCTGCCTCCCAGGGTCTTCTCTATCCCCCTCCTACCACCTGTGTTCATCTGGTCCTCTTGGTCTTGCTCCAACAAACCCAGCAGGCTGTGGCCTCAGGGCCTTTGCACTCCTCAAATGCTCATCTCTGATGTTGGCAGAGCGCTCTGTCTCCCTTTATTCAGCCCTCAGCAAAAATGTCTCCTTACCTCCACACACCCTATCCAAAGCACACCCTTTCTCTCCATCTGCTTACCCTTATTTTTTCCATTGCACTTATTCAACACATAATACAGTTTGTCTGTCTGCCTCCACCACTAGCACAGAAACCAGGGGCGGAACTAGGCTCATTTTGTTCACTGCTGTGTGGACCCCAAATAAGTGACGGAGGCAAAGATCTCAATCAGTGGAGGTTTATTAAGCCAAAGCTGAGGATGCGCCTGGGAAACATACAAATCACAGACAAATCTGTGGCTGTTTTCCTGAATGGGAATTTGGAAATTTCGGTATTTAAAGGGCAGTAGGGCATACAGAAAGGGGGAAAAAAAAACATGAGGGATGGGAGTAGTGAGACAAAATGGTTACATTCCTGTGAGACCCAGGAAAATACACATGTTACATAAGATAAGGTGAATGTTAGAAGAGAAAAAGGGAGTGAAGGAAGCATCAATTACGTAAGTGTCCCTGGGTAGGTAGAAAAATGTTTGATCCTGTCTTGTGTCTGTTCTACACCAGTGAAGATAAACTAGTAATTCATTATTAGGGTAACATTGAACAGACTTTAGTTTTAGGAGCTATACATAGCCTATGGACCTAAAGTTAGAATTTGCATGTCCTTGCTTACAGGAGGCCATTAAACATCACTCAAAAAAAATTTCCTTAATGAATGATCTGTGGGGCCAGACCTTCCCCAGTACCTAAGGTCTTTACCTTCCCTTTTGCATAAGAACTTGACAGGAGGGAGGGGAGGTCCTGAGATTTTTATTTTTTACACTGGATTCCAAGGTCTCGGGAACATGGCTTAGCACCTTACACATGTTTTGGGGTTTTGTATTTGTTTTTGTTGCTTTAACTTACCAAGTCTAGCAGGAAGTACCTTATTATACTATAGATATTTAATTTATTGAATGATTGACAAAAAATACCCTAATGAAAATTGTGAATCTTAAAGAGACAATACAGTATGCAGCTTCCTCAAAGCTGTTTGAGCAGCACTGGATCTTTTGACAGAAATGCCTATTAATATCTCACGGGCCGTGGGTGTTTTAGAGCGATCTGGGAAACACTGTCTTAATTATTCATTATTTGGTAAGATCAGATTCAGCCTTTTGCTTCACATATTTGTATCTTTTAATTTAAGCCCCTATGTTACTCCATCAACCCCTTCCCTTTGAGGCAACCGAATGTCACACCGGGGGGATCATCAGTTGGGTCTGTGACAACCAGCCAGCCTCTCCCTGTGACAACAGAGCTCACCAGGCCTGTCACACATGCTGGAAAAGTTCTGGCAGAAATGACTTCAAGCCCAAAGGAGGACTCACAGACGGATGTCTTCACTTACATACAAGCATCGTTTCAGAATGCATCTGACCAGGTAAACATGGGAAACGGAAGTCACCACTGAGTAGCGCTGTGACACTGAAAAAGCACTCTTATTCTTTGCTTCTATTGTGGTGATGTTTCAGAAATAATGGCGATAAGAATGAGCCTGGTTGATACTTGCACCTCCTGGCAGAACTATGCTTAGGATTTCCTGACACACCGGCGTATGTCCCAGTTAAAAGCAAAACCAAAACAAGGTCATGAATATATTCCACAATGGGTTATTTGCTCGTGTCAGTATTTAATGACTTATTATTTAATGCTCTTATACGCCATGCTGCAGACGGGAAAGAAGCTTTGCTCACCTGCCCCACTTTTTCAGCTGCAGCAAACCCTTCTATACGACAACCCCTCCTCCTCATCTGTATTTTCCTCTCGCCTTGTTTCCTTTCTCCCACACACAGAAAAAAAAAAAAAAAAGAAAGCCATCTTGATAATGTTGACTAAAGAAAAATCATCCTGCTTCTCCCCACCCCCACCCCCTACCCCCGCTTTGTTTATTTTATTAACACAAACACTGTTTATATGCAATCTAACATTTCCCTGCTAAAACAGATTCCTGTTTACTCTGGATCTGTTTTCAATGGTTATGGAAATTAGATGTTCAATGTGGGCTCAGCAGTTTACTCAGGAAATAAACCTCACCTAGGTAGTTTAAGCAAAGGTGTTTTTCACCTCAAAGAGAAGTCTGAAGTGTAGAATATGCAAGAGTCTATGGAAAAATTATTAGAAATACTAAGGGAATTTAGCAATGTTGCTGAATACCACATCAGTATACTAAAGCTAATTGTATTTTTACATATCAGTGACAATCAGTTAGAAAATCAGATTTAAGAAAAATATCATAGCAAGTGCCTAGGATTAAATTTAACCAAAAATGTGCACAACTTCTCTGGACTTTTTTAAGATACGTTTTCTAAAAGACTAGATAAATGGTGGGATATACCATGATTGAGCCCAGGTTACAAGTTCTGTTCTAACATGTCAAATAAGGGTCCCCTCCGTGACCTTCCTGGCTGTACCTAGAATGGCATCAAGACCTGGCCACCACTGGCAAATGTGTAGTTGGGGGGCAACTATATATCTCCCCCAAATCTTCATGCCTGCTTATTTATGCCTCAATCCCAAAGTATAAAACCAAAATCGGGTGCCCCTCAATTCTAAGATGGCTTTATAAATGACCGAACCTCTTACAAACCCTTTGACCTCAGGAATCACCCTCTCTGACTGCGTGGTTCCCAAGGGCAGGGACCGTGACTGACTTTAACTGCGCTAGCACCTACAGTACACACTAGGCATTTAATAAAGCTTTCTCGAATGTGTGATTGGAGCTATAAATGGGCTGTTCTCTAGAAATGGGTCTAGTAGTTGGCGCCCACAGATCCTCTCGGGGTTGGGTGTCAAGTTCAAAAGCAGCAGTTACAACTGTATTAACTCCCCTTAGAGGCAGAAAAAAAAAAAAAAAAAAGGCAGCAGCCTCTTAAGCGCTGGGAACGGGTCTGGTTTGCTCAGCTTGCTTTTTTCAGGGATATTTTCTGCCTCCCACCTCCTGCTAGGTGGTATTTCACGTAGTTCCTTCCTGAACACAAACTCTTGAACGGAGGGAACCAAACACTATGGGAAACCTGAGGGGAAAAGATACTTTTGAATAGGAAAGTTTGCTTTTACTGTTTTGATTTCCAGGTTTTCCTCGCCTTTGATCATAGCTGTGAGACTTACACGTACTCTTATAATCTTATTTCCATACTCTTTTGCCCTTGGACTATAATCATTGTATAACCTTGTTGCTCATTTTGTGTACTGTATGGAAGAAGTGAAAATAAATTCTAACCATTTGCAGAAGAGCTTCTGAAAGTAACTCTTTTGGAGAGCCTGTGCTTCCTAGAGCTTAATGTTACCAAAAGTCAACTCTGGTTAAGACAGTGTCTCAAACTATTAAAGTGTGATGATGATGAAAATGTGATGGTTATATGTAAGTCATGTTGACAAAATTCTTTGTTTCCAACAGTTCATAAATGGCATAGCCGAGAAATTTAGCAGAGCGGTTCATGGTTTGCAAGCACATGACAAACTGCAGGAAGCTTGCAAGATCCTCCGGACACTGACAGCCTTTGCCCCACAATTGTCTAAGCCAGCTCAGGTAAGCAGAGGATGATATGGAGGGGACAAGACAGAAAAGGGGGAAAAGTGTGAAAAAGAATTTGTGGAGACTGTATTTAAACATCAGCAAGTATATCTGTATCTTTAAAGATTGTGAATAAATTGATCAGTAGTGACAGTCTTGGACATGCTGTGTTTATGTTCATTTGTTTATCACGTTACTGCCTTTCAGTTGCATTTGTTAGAAGAAATAACGGGAGACAAAATATCTCCATTCCTGGCTATGGATACAGTAGTACAGCCTGGAAACAGGCATCAAACATCAGCATGGTCGTGATATTTGCATTTGTTACAACCACATTTACCGATGTCACTTCCCCACGATTGTTCACACATAGGGAGTAGAAGGGCTTCCTACATGTGGGTAAAGGAAGGTGGTCAGATTAGTGGGAATTCTAATATTTTCTCTCCCGTTTTCTATATTTTTTAATATGCTGCAATAAGCATGTAAATATAATCTGTTCTGGTTTACCTGGGCTTTTTTTTTATAACAAATAATACATGGTTATTACTAAAATAATCAAAATAAAAGTGTATAAAGTAAAAAGCTAGAGCCTTCACCATCTCTGTCCTTCTTGCCATTCTCTAGATGTTAATCACTGTTGTTAGTTATTAATTTGCTGCACATAACCTTCTAGGCTTTTTTCTATGCATACATAAGTTCTTTTTGTTTTTAGTTTTATTTTCTTAACAAAAATGGGGCTAAGGTATACAAATTTGGGGGTCCTTGATTTTCTTCTTAAACGTAGTACATTGTCATGGACTTTTTTTATATCGGTACACATAAATGGACTCAATGTTCATTTAGATTTTTTTCATTTGTTTGCTCTGACAAACAGCATGCCATGAATGTCCTTGTAACCTGTATCTCTGAGCACGTATGCAAATATTTCTGTGGGATAGAATGCTACAATTAGAATTGATTGGCTTTTAAATTCTCAATAGATACGACAAAAATGCCCTCTTGAAAGGTACCATTTGGCCAGGTGTAGGTGGCTGATGCCTGTAATCCTAGCACTCTGGGAGGCCAAGGAGAGGATTGCTTGGTGCCAGGAGTTTGAGACCAGCCTGAGCAAGAGCAAGACCCCATCTCTACTAAAAATAGAAAAAATTAGCCAGGCATTGGGATACATACCTATAGTCCCAGCTACTGGGGAGACTGAGGCAGAAGGATTGCTTGAGCCCGGGAGTTTGAGGTTGCTGTGAGCTAGGCTGACGCCACAGCACTCTAACCCAGGCAACAGAGTGAGACTCTGTCTCTAAAAAAAAAAAGGTACCATTTTACATTGCCACTGACCATTTCTTCACAATCTCACTTTTGCCAATTTCAAAAGCATAAAAATATAGAAAAGTAGAAGGGGTGTTTCATTGATTACTAAGAAGGCTGAGCATCATTTTATATGTTTATTGATCTTTTTATTTCCCCTCTGAATTATTTCTTTGTATCCTTCATTCTCGTCCCCCTATTGGATTGTCTTTTTCTTATTTGTTCATAAAAGAGCTTTATTTATGAATGTTAACCTTTTGTTCTATATGTTCCACATATTTTGTGCCCATGTGTTAATTTTAACGTTTTGTTACTGTGTCTTTTATTTTGCATGACATTTTAATAAATGTAACTGTAAGAATAAAATTTCAAAACAAAAATAGTAGTACCTACACTGAAGATTTCAGTAAATACCTGTCAATTTGCTTGACCTTCTTCATTTGATTTTTTTTTTTATTTCGGCATATTATGGGGGTACAGATTTTAAGGTTCATTTGATTTTTTTGATGAGAATGACCTACGTTAAAAGAGAATTGTTGGTTGGGCGTGGTAGCTCACATCTGTAATCCTAGCACTCTGGGAGGCTGAGGCAGGCAGACTGCTGGAGGTCGGGAGTTCGAAACCAGCCTGAGCGAGACCCCATCTCTACTATAAATAGAAATTAATTGGCCAACTAATATATATAGAAAAAAAATGAGCCAGGTATGGTGGCGCATGCCTGTAGTCCCAGCTACTCTGGAGGCTGAGGCAGTAGGATTGCTTGAGCCCAGGAGTTTGAGGTTGCTGTGAGCTAGGCTGACGCCACGGCATTCACTCTAGCCTGGGCAACAAAGTGAGACTCTGTCTCAAAAAAAAAAAAAAAAGTAAAAGAGAATTGTTTTCTGTTCCATTTAGAATTTCTCTTTGTTCTCTATTTTAAATCTATCTTGAATGCTTTGTATCAAAAGATATATCAAGATGGACTAGATATAGGAAGACAGTCTACTCTGCATTACCCTTTTCCTGGACATTCCTTTTCTTACCTTAGTTTTGTTAGACATTTGGTATACTTACCACTCCAAAGAGTTATGTCAGTTTTTTTTTGAATGGCGTGAAATACGAATCTTCCCCTATAGGTAATACGAAATAATATATTTTCCTTCCTTGCCAAATTGTAATGTTGCTTTTTGTAAAAATGCATTGAAAAATGTGTAAAGAATATTGAACTGCTAGTGAGAACACAAACTGAAAACAATCACAAACGGTTCAGAGATGTGTGTTTGCTTCCTAACGTTCCCAGGTCAGCGTCATCAATTCTCTTATTTACCTGAGTGAGCAGCTGCTGAAGATGCCATTTCAGAACAGCAGCAGTCGGGGCTTCAAAAATTCCGTGACCGTCAGTCTCTTCCACTCCGTCAACAACGTCATGGAAGCTGGTGAGGAAGTTTGGCAGAACTCTGAGCAGGAGGCCGAGCAGGTAGGTTCATTATGCGCAAGTGAGCAACTCTGTTTAGAAACGTTGTAATCTTAAAAGGTGCAGCCTCTCCCCAGACCTTCAAAGAGAATCGAGCTGAGCTGTGCGCTGCTGAAGAAACCTTTCTTCTGCCAGGCCCTCTCTGGGATCCCTTTCCACTTTACCAAGGAGCCGAGACTGCCTAGTGCCATAACCAAGTGAAAAGGACTTAGCAAGCGTTGGCACATAGTAAACACACAGTAAATTATATTTACTAGTCACATGAGAAAATGTTCAACATCATTGGTGAACTGTAAGTCAAAACCAAAATTAGATACTACTTTACACCCAAAAAAGGCAGACCATAACGAGTATTGGCAAGGATGCAGAGAAATTGCAATCCTTATACATTTTTGGATCGTAAAATGATACAGCCTCGTTGGGAAACAGTTGGGTAGTTCTTCAAAATGTTTAAAAATAGAATTGCCATGTAACCTAGCGATTCCACTCCTTGGTGTACACCCAAGAGAACTGAAAACATACGTCCATTGAAAGACTTGTATGCTCCTGTTCAAGGCAGCAGTGTTCAAATAGCTAAAGTAGCCAAAAAGCAGAAATAATCCAAATGTCCATGATCTGATCCATGGATAAATAAAATGTGTTATATCCATACGATGGAATATTATTCAGCAACAAAAAGAAATGAAGTACTGGTACATGCTCCAACATGAATGAACTTTGAAAACGTTACACCAAATGAAAGAAGCCACTCACGAAAGACCATATGTTGCAATTCATTTATATGCAATGTCCAAAAGAGGCAAATTTATAGATTAGATTCGTGGTTATCTAGGAACAGGAAGAGTAGGGGTGGGGAAATGGAGAGTTGACTGCTAGTGGATGTCACGTTTATTTTAGGGAGGATGGGGCCTAAAATTAGTTTGTGGTGATGGTTGCATAACCCTGTGAATATAGTAAAAAAACACTGAATTATATATACTCTCAGGATGTGTTGTATGTGTGAAATTTATCTTAAAGCTGTCTTTTAAAGAAGACAAACATATGAGCAGCTCTAGGACAGTTATGTAATGAGGCAAAGGAATATTTCCTGGCTCTCTTGGTTGATACAAAGGATGGTAAGTCTTTAGTCAGACTGCAGGTACTTTCTGTGGGGTTCCAAGTTCTTCTCCATTTAATGTCACCTCACTCTGTTGCCCAGGCTAGAGTGCTGCGGCATCAGCCTAGCTCACAGCAACCTCCAACTCCTGGGCTCAAGCGATCCTTCTGCCTCAGCCTCCCGAGTAGCTGGGACTACAGGCATATTCACCACCATGCCCGGCTAATTCTTTCTATATATTTTTAGTTCGCCAATTAATTTGCTTCTATTTTTAGTTGACACAGGGTCTCGCTCTTGCTGAGGCTGGTTTTGAACTCCTGACAGTGAGTGATCCTCCTGCCTTGGCCTCCCAGAGTGCTAGGATTACAGGCGTGAGCCACTGTGCCCAGTCCCCCTTCCAGCCTTCTAAAGCCATTATTTCACTAACACAGTACATGGAGATTATACAAGTCACATGGTGTTTCCCTCTAAATGCAGGTAGAAGACATGCTAGAAATGTCCTTGGCGGCGCTTAGGAACATCCAGGAAGCATTTCTACAGCAGAACCATTTTCTTGCATCTCCACTGACCGTGACCTCTTCTGTTTCCACTCTGATGCTGAGCAGGTTAACATAGGAGGAAATAAGGGGGCAGAGTTTCATTTATGTTTTTGACCTTTTAGAGAACATACAAAAATTGATTTCCATTTTAACTTTAACTTTTTTCAGTAGCCAAAACATATCAACTTTGCCTCTGAGCTCTTACACCCTGGGTCACCCAGCACCTATGAGGTTATGCTTTCCGTCAGCTTGGGCTTTGGAGAAGCTCCTGAACAAATGCCCAAGAGTTAATGTCCAAGTGAGTGTGAAATTGATTCCGATCAGAATGCAAATAGGGTTGGACGGGCCGGGTGACATTTGGGTGAAAGGAATGTACCATGAAATGTAAGCTGACCAGACCACATGAGAGAGGCTTTGTGGCACCAGTTTTTATTTTACACTGGCAGGGGGAGAGCGGTTGAGACCACTAAACTGATTTCTGGATTTAACTCAGTTTCTGTGTTGTGAATTGAAATGATCTCAGCTCTTCACTCTTTTTTCTTTTTTCTTTTTTTTTTTTTTTTTTGAGACAGAGTCTCACTTTGTTGCCCAGGCTAGAATGAGTGCCATGGCGTCAGCCTAGCTCACAGCAACCTCAAACTCCTGGGCTCAGGCGATCCTCCTGTCTCAGCCTCCCGAGTAGCTGGCGCTACAGGCATGTGCCACCATGCCCAGCTATATATTTTTTTTTGTATATATATTTTTAGTTGTCCAATTAATTTCTTTCTATTTTTAGTAGAGACGGGGTCTTGCTCAGGCTGGTTTTGAACTCCTGACCTTGAGCCTCCCAGAGTGCTAGGATTACAGGCGTGAGCCACGGCGCCCGGCCTGAGCTCTTCACTCTTTACACAAAGCTGTGAATATCTTAATAATGACTGACTTGGTATACCAGCCTGGTCATGTCAGTGCATTGTATTTCCTTCAGCATTTACCTGACAAACACAAATAACATTGCTGCCTTACTCCCTAGTAAAATAGGATCCTCCAGGTACAAAGATGTAAAAAAAAAAAAATCTGAGGGTCCCAAGTATAATATGATTTGTCTTTAATTATTTCTCATAGATGTTACAGTACGAAATCTTACTTCATTTGAGATATTAACAGGGAAAATCCCAACATTTACTTTATGATATCTGATGATATCCTATCACGGGGTCACGTATAAATATTTCAGCAACTGATGAAACTGGACTTTTCTTTGTCTCCAGGTGGCAGGACTAGCTTTAAATCCCTTCAAGCATTTTGGGGATGGAAATATTGTTGGAAGCATTGGAAGTGTGAAACTGAGCTACAATAATACACTGCTCCAAGTCCAGGATTTAATGGAAGACATTGAGGTAGGAATTGATTTTTGGGGGAGTAAAATGGAAGGGCATAGGCCATCCTGGCGAGTAGGATGGGAGGATGCAGTGACTTGCAGGACATCATTTAAGATTGACAGTGGTGCCATTGTTTAGTTATCACCATCTTTATTTGGGAATTTTTACAAAGAGATTCCTTAGCCTTAGAAAAAGGTGCTTTAGGTCTTAGACATAGTCTCTCCCTTAACGCCTGAGAGTATGTTGGCTACTAGTATTCAAAGAGGAAAGACTAGAAAGTTTCACAACCTTATCAATATAAAGGAAGTTGAAAGGCATTAGTGGATGGACCATCTTAAACTTGAAGAGTGACTGTCCTTCTAGATCATTCTCTGGAGAAATGTTAGCGTGGAAACCCATCCCATCAGCCTCAACACGAGCACAGACCGTTTTGCGATCACAGTGAACGTGACTTCTTCGGAGAAAGCCCTGATAGTGAGCATAGAGCCTGAAAGTCCCCTTTTGATGACACTGTACCTGGGCTACCAGTATCAGCCTAACCACACGCACTTCCACCTGAACATCACCCTTCCGAAGGACCAGGTGTGGCAGAAAGGTAAAACCCCAGTCAAGATGTGGGAAACATACTTTGAAATGCATTTCTTTCTTTTTTTAACTTTTTATTTTGAGATAATTGTAGATTCACATGCAGTTGTAAGAAATAAAACAGCTCATAGACCTTTAATCCAGTGTCCCCTAATGTTAACATCCTTCATAATTATAGTAGTCACAGCCAGGAAATGACAATGATACAACGCATCAACTTTATTTAGATTTCACCAGGTTTACAAGCGCTCATTTCTGTGTGTATTTGGTTCTATGTCATTTTAACACACATAGATACATGTGACCATGAAGGGCATTTCAATAAAAAAAGGTGGGGGCCGGGCACAGTGGCTCATGCCTCTAATCCCAGCACTCTGGGAGGCTGAGGTGGGCAGATCGATTGAGGCCAGGAGTTTGAGCCCAGCCTGGGCAACATAGTGAGACCCCGTCTCTACAAAAAAATTTTAAAACAGCCAGTCATGGTGGGGCACGTCTCTCCTCCTAGCTACTCAGAAGGCAAAGGTGGGAGGATAGCTTCAGAGCATAGGAGTTCTCGGCTGCAGAGAGCTATGACTGTCCCTCTCTGTACTCTAGCATGGGTGACAGAGTGAGACCCTGTCTCTAAAAAACAAAAAAATGGATTATGGGATAGAGAAAAGGATATACATGTAAGAAAAAAAAATTTAGTAAAACGTTAGTTGTAGAATCCAGTGATTGTATGAGTGTTCGCTGTAAAAATTCTCTCAACTTTCTGTATGGCTAAATTTTCATAATTAAATGTTGAGACCTACAGCCGAAGTAAAGTTTCAGCAACGTGGATCATATGTACTTCAAATTTTATATATTGTAGATGAATACATGTATGAAATATGTTGTATATTTCAACTTCATTTCTAATCTTAGGTTTGGGTAAGGCTATGTCAGTAAGTCTTGGTGTCTAAAACCAGAATGACTACATTGTAGTTTAGAAAAAGCTAAGAATTTCTGAGACATTAATGGTTAAAATTTCTAAGATACACAAATAGTGCCTAGATACGCTTGATCAAACGCATCTATTACCAACAGGCTTTTCTCCAATTCAGAACTTTCCCGCGGTTGTTTCGTGCTGATGTTGGCAATGATATTTTGTCATTTAGAGCTGGAAGGACTCCTGAGAGATCCTTTGTTTGAAAGACAAGACTCTTTGTTTGAAAGATGAGGAAACTGAGGCCCAGAGAAATTGGGTGACTTAACCAGCCACCTGGACATGCAGGCAGGACTCTGTTCCTGGAACTACGTGATTCCTACCCTTGCTTCGCCCTTGGTTCTCTTTGATTCTCTGGATCTTCTATCTATTAATTTAGATGTGTGATTATTTCTGTATTTCTCTAAAACCCATAATACATTCTAATTCATTAGGCCTAAAGTTTCCTTTATCAAAAGAAACATGATCCTTTACTGGAATGGGGGTAATCCAGAGCCCGGGATTGTATCACTGTATCATTTTCTTTCAAAGCATTTGTGATCCCTGGCTTGCCATTTCCTCATTCGTAAAATAAAATAACAATAGACCCATCAGAGCAGAAGTTCTCCTGGCACTTTTGCCTCTTATTAAATATAAGTCAGCTCTGTTCTTTGCTCGAAGATGAGGAGTACACATGGGTGCTGACTCAGGAGAGCCTGCGGTACGGGCCTGGCACCTACTACATAACAGCCACGTGGAACGGGAGCCAGGACGGCGCTCAGCTGACACCCCCCCTGGTCTCCGTCGTCACTGCCAGCACTCAGTGCTATTTCTGGGACAGCCAGAACAGGACGTGGAGGAGCAACGGATGCCAAGTAAGAAACCGACACTTCTCAGGCCTCTCTCCTACCTTAGCTGCCCTGTTAAACACGGCGCGTCTGTTACCTCGGCCCAGAAAGAAAAATGATCAGAAAGGAAATAAATCAACCTGGGGAACGGGAGGGGGGTTGTGTGTGCTGGGCAGGGAAGGCGTGTCTCTTTGGGGCAGGAGCAGATTGTGCTTTATCTTTGTATAATAATTTCCTTCTCAAACACAGTCCAGCGCGGATCTGATGGTTGTAGATAAAATAAGGAGAGCAGTATCTAGAAGCTGCAAAAGTCTTGAAGTATTAAACGTGGTGTGGTTAAATGAAATAAACTTGCTGCTAAGCAAAAGAGAATTTTTATAGCTAAGAAAAACCTGTTTGCAGATTCTTGTATATTCCAGGCCAGATGGGGACAGAGTGTCACTTTAGTCATTATCACCTTGTTCCTGATGTCTAAGCACTTTAAAACAACACTATCCGTTTGCACACACTCTGAGCTCCTGCCTGATTAAAAAGTCTTGGTTCAGTAGCACGAAGAATGCAGTGCAATTCCTGGAGGGGTTATGAAGCTGTCCTTTTTTTTTTTTCTTTGAGACAGAGTCTCACTTTGTTGCCTAGGCTAGAGTGCCATGGTGCCACCCTAGCTCACAGCAACCTCAAACTCCTGGGCTCAAGCAATCCTGCTGCCTCAGCCTCCCAAGTAGCTGGGACTACAGGCGTGCACCACCATGCCTGGCTAATTTTTTCTATATATTTTTAATTGACCAATTAATTTCTATTTTTAGTAGAGACAGGGTCTTGCTCTTGCTCTTGAACTCCTGAGCTCAAGCAATCCTCCTGCCTCAGCTTCCCAGAGTGTTAGGATTACAGGCGTGAGTCACTGTGCCCTGCCTCATTCATTCATTTTTAACTGCCATGTAGTATTCCATCAGTTCGGCTCTACTTACATATTTATGCGCTTGTTATGTACTTACATACTTGTTAATTTGTTACATTCCACTGTTATTGGACATATAGGTTGTTTTCTATTTTTGATAGTTACAAACGATGCTGACAAACATTCCTTTTCACCTATCATTGTGCACATGTGCAAAGTTCCCCTAGGATATATATTCAGAACTGGGATTTCAGGACTCACAAAGTTTCAGCCTTTTCAGCCTCAGTGGCTGTTGCCAAATTGCTCTCCGCATCGGTTATGATTGTTTACACCACCAGCAGCAGTGAGCGAGAGATCCGCACGTCCTTTTCCATCTCTAAGTGGCCTGTGTTTTACATCTTAGGTTTGTCCCTTCCTTAGCGTTCTGATCAGAATCAGTGTCTTGACTCTCATTCCAGGTTGGGCCGCGGAGCACCATTTTGAGGACACAGTGTTTCTGTAACCACCTGACCTTCTTCAGCAGCGACTTCGTCGTCGTTCCCAGGACGGTGCACGTTGAAGACACGATCAAACTGTTCCTTCGCGTGACCAGCAATCCTGTTGGGGTGTCCTTGCTGGCCAGCCTCTTCGGGTTCTATCTGATCATAGTCGTGTGGGCTTGGAGGAAAGATCAAGCAGATGTGCAGAAGGTAATGAGACTTCGATTCCAAAAGCTTTGTCATAGTGCCTTCAGTGTATTTAATAAGACAATATACGTAACCTTCACACTTGTTCCCCCATAATACACTAAAATAAAAATAAAGAAATGACATGTCTGAGTTTGAAAAAAAAAAAAAAAGACTGGGGCATGGGGACCTTCATCAAAAGAAGCAGATAGCTTGATCCTAGGTAGCAAAGAAAAATCCAAGTTGGACTTTTCTTAAAGTTCTCTTCATGTCTATGGTCTCAAGACCTAAGAACTTAACTCTTCAATCTCCAATTTTTTTTTTTTTTTTAAGACAAGGTTGTATCCTCATGGGACTCAGAAAACACCCTGGAAATTCTAGAATATGCAAAGTATCTATTTCTCTGTTGCCCTGGGTGGAGAGTTGCCAGCTCTAGTAAATTAAAATACAGGATACCCAGCCAAATTTGCATTTTAAATATCTAGTGAATGCAGTTGTGTAGTGTAAGCATGCCTCAGATTATTCTTCGTTTGTCTGAAATTCAAGTTTAACTGGGTATCCTCTCTGTTAGCTGGCAATCCTGCCTGAGTGGGAGGGAAGTGGGATGTAGAGGCCCAAGACTCGATCAGTTGATTCTGTGACTGTTTCATGTTAAAGGCATGAGCTCTGGAATTTCAGGCCTCATTCTCCCTTCAGTCACTTAACTTCCGTCTGCTGGTTTCTAACCACACCCCACCATTGCTCTGCATCCGGTTGCCAGGCCCACAGTGGTGCATTCCCCTGCTCCTTAGCTGGAGGAAGCAGGAGGCTGTGCTGATGGAGCCTGCTAAGTTTCTTGGTTCTGCTTTTCTTGCAGGTGAAGGTCACTGTCCTGGCTGATAATGACCCCGACTGTCAGTTTCGCTACCTTGTTCAGGTCTACACAGGATATCGAAGAAGGGCCGCTACAACAGCTAAGGTTAACGAGATAAATGTTCTTCTTTCATTGCTTTGTGTCTCCTAGCACGTGAGACCCACTCTGACTTGGTGACATCCCAGCACTTTCCAAAAGCTCTTTAAAAGGGGATCACAGAGATTAGTATTTCCTGGCTCTAATTTGTAAATGCAAAGCGCCCTTTTATGCTTGTCTAAGATTCCAAAGACTTCATTTAAGTATAGTTTTCTGTGTCTTCATCTTTCTTTTTAGGGATAAACCCAAAGAATCATGTTGAAATTTCCTACATTTTGTCTTTCCTTGTCACGTTTTAGGTTGTCATCACGCTCTATGGATCAGAGGGACGGAGTGAGCCCCATCACCTTTGGGACCCGCAGAAGATGGTGTTTGAGCGGGGAGGCCTGGACGTCTTCCTTCTCACCACTCGGTCCTCGCTGGGGCAGCTGCACGGCCTCCGGCTCTGGCATGACAATTCTGGCGCCAGTCCTTCCTGGTGAGCACCTGCCTCATGCTGCCTTGCTGCTTTATGGCTCACAGAGAAAGAAAAGCAAACCCACCACAATTAATAACTGAATCTCTGGGCCAAATAGTAACAAATGACTACTAGGTTTAAGTTTTAAAGCTATCTACAAAGAACAAACCCTGGAAAGAAATAAGGAAAATCAACAATATGATTTTTTTTTTTTTGGATAGTAGAAGGATAGATAATCTTTTCTGCTATTTTATTTTCATTAAATGTTGTCATGATTAAGAACAGCAAATAATAATGAAATATTGCCCCAATGTATGGTAAATTAAAGATATTTCCTTTATTTTTTTATTTTTTTGAGACAGAGTCTCACTCTGCTGCCAGGGCTAGAGTGCCATGCCGTCAGCCTAGCTCACAGCAACCTCAAACTCCAGGCTCAAGCGATCCTTCTGCCTCAGCCTCCCAAGTAGCTGGGACTACAGGCATGCGCCACCACGCCCGACTAATTTTTTCTATAAATTTTTAGTTGGCCAATTACTTTCTTTCTATTTATAGTAGAGACGGGGTCTCATTCTTACTCAGGCTGGTCTCGAACTCCTGAGCTCAAAGGATCTGCCCGCCTTGGCCTCCCAGAGTGCTAGGATTACAGGCGTGAGCCGCCGCACCTGGCCAAAGATATTTTCTAAACATAAAAAAAAAAACCTCTAAAGAGTAAATTTTATAAACAACTACCTACTGAATTTACTTTGGGTCAAAATTAAGAGATTAGGGCCGGGTGAGGTGGCTCACGCCTGTAATCCTAGCACTCTGGGAGGCTGAGGCGGGCGGATCGCTCAAGGTCAAGAGTTCGAAACCAGCCTGAGCAAGATCGAGACCCCGTCTCTACTAGAAATAGAAAGAAATTGGCCAACTAATATATATAGAAAAAATTAGCCGGGCGTGGTGGCGCATGCCTGTAGTCCCAGCTACTCAGGAGGCTGAGGCCAGGAGGATTGCTTGAGCCCAGGAGTTTGAGGTTGCTGTGAGCTAGGCTGACGCCATGGCACTCACTCTAGCCTGGGCAACAAATCGAGACTCTGTCTCAAAAAAAAAAAAAAAAAAAACAAATTAAGAGATTAGGGCGAAGGGAAAGAATAGAACGGGCATGTGGGGTGTGCCTGGGGAGCTGGAGAGATGACGAAGGGACAGTGATAGTGCCATGAACCTGGCACGTGTTTGGTCCGAATGATTTCGCATCTTCCTTCAGCAACACCCTGAGAATTAGGAGAGATGGTGGAGAAAGTAGGTGACAAAATTAATTAAAGAATGAAGATTGTTGGGGTTTTGGAGTTAGGAAAAAAGAAGGCAATGGAGTGGAAGTTCTAAGGCGCAGGCACTGAAAAAAAACGAGTTGCCAAACATTGCCCACCTGAGAAGAGCCTGTGGTCTGCCTAACGTTATTAGCAAAATAAGGTTTCCCCTACTAGGCTACATACACCAACCCCTAGGCAGGCAGAGCCTAATCTCTTCCGTGCTGCTCCCATTGTTTTCGGGTGTGTACAAAACAGTGTGTATACCATCATTTCACTTTTATTTATAAAGGTGAATAATGTATAAAAAGCACTTGAAAAGGTGTTTGACATCATTAGTCATCAGGAAATGCAAATTAAAACCACAGCGAGAGAGCACTAACTCCCCACCAGAATGGCTTATGTTAAAAGTTCTGACAAAACCCAGTTTAGGTGAGGATGGGAGCAGCTGGAACTCCCACTCCACTGGGGGGAGCATGAAATGGTACAGCTACTTCGGAGAACAGTCTGGCAGTTTCTGGTAAAGTTAAACATGAATTTAACAGGTGACCCAGAAATTCCACTGGTTGGTATTTACCCAGGATAAATGAAAACCTTTGTCCACTCCAAGACTTGTACACATGGTCACAGCAGCTTTATTAATAATAGCCAAAATCTGGAAACACCACACAAATGTCCGTCAAACGAATGAATAAACAAATCCTAGCATATTCGTTCAATGGAATACTACTCAACAAAAAAGAAAACTATTGATGTACAAAAAGCATGGATGAGTTTAAAAAAGAAAATCACACTGAGCAAAAGAACCAGATACAAAGAAGACACACGGCGTGAATTTGCATTATATGAAATTCTAAAAAAGGTGAACTAGTCTATAGAGACAGAAAGCAGATGCGAGGTCTCCTGTGGCCAGGAGTTGAGGGGGTGGGAGGTTACTGGAAAGAGGCACAAGGGAACTTTTTGGAGTGATATCTTGGGGGGGGATTTTACACAGGTATATACATTTGTCAGAATGCATTGAACTGTATGTTTAAAATTGGGTACATTTTATCATGTGTAAATTATACCTGGTAAAGTTCATTATTTTTAAAAAGCATATATATAGGAAAGTAATATTTGATAATTATTTTATAATAATTATCAATAATTGACTATAATTATTCCTGGGTAGTAGGATCACAACATCTTAAAAATTTCCTTCAGTGTACTTTTAGGTATTTTCAAAATTGTAACAATGAATTCCTATTAGTTTATAATCATAGGAAGATAATTTTAAAATTTAAAGTACATAATTCTTTTAGAGGAAGCACTTAAATTCACACTTACGGGATATTTTCTCCTTTTCTCACTAATTCACATCACTAGTTTACATCAATCTTTTTTTTCTTTTGAGACAGAGTCTTACTCTGTTTCCCAGGCTAGTCCGCCGTGTCAGCCTAACTCACAGCAACCTCAAACTCCTGTGCTCAGGGGATCCTCCTGCCTCAGCCTCCCCAATAGCTGAGACTACAGGCATGTGCCACCATGCCTGGCTAATTTTTTCTATATATTTTTAGTTGGCCAATTAATTTATTTTTATAGTAGAGACAGGGTCTTGCTCTTGCTCAGGCTGTTTTCCAACTCCTGACCTTGAGCAATCTGCCCGCCTTGGCCTCCCAGAGTGATAGGATTACAGGCGTGAGCCACCATGCCTGGCGTACATCAATCTGTATATGTAGTAAGATTATAAAATCTTAGCTTACAATAGTCTTAGGCTCTTCAAAGATAAAGATACTGTCTTATTCATGTTTGTATTCTCAGCAGCCAGTTTAGTGTCATGATTAGGACTGAATATATATTTGTTACGATTAATAATTATGGTTAATACTGTAACAGTAAATATTTATTACATTTAAATTCTCAGGGTTATGTGTCACCTCTAGAGCTTTCTATCAGCTTGGCATTAAAGCAGTTTTTTTGTTTTGTTCTTTTTTGAGACAGAGTCTCGCTTTGTTGCCCAGGCTAGAGTGAGTGCCGTGGCGTCAGCCTAGCTCACAGCAACCTCAAACTCCTGGGCTCAAGCAATCCTCTTGCCTCAGCCTCCCGAGTAGCTGGGACTACAGGCATGCGCCACCATGCCCGGCTAATTTTTTCTATATATATTAGTTGGCCAATTAATTTCTTTCTATTTATAGTAGAGATGGGGTCTTGCTCTTGCTCAGGCTGGTTTCGAACTCCTGACCTCGAGCAATCCGCCCGCCTCGGCCTCCCATAGTGCTAGGATTACAGGCGTGAGCCACCGCGCCCGGCCTGTTTTTTTTTTTTTGAGATAAGATCTCTCTCTGTTGCCCAGGCTAGAATGCCATGGCCTCATTATAGCTCATTGCCATCTCCAGCTCCTGGGTTCTAAACGATCCTTCTGCCTGAGCCTCCCAGGTACCTGGGACTACAGGCGCGTGTAGTACCCAGGGCAATGGAGTGAGACTCTGTCTCAACAAAAACAAACAAGGCAACTGAGCACCTCTCCTCACAAGCCCCTGCCCCTTCATATTTAAAATGAGTAAATAAATCAATAAATAAGAAAATAAAGTACACACACATACTGAGCTACTCCTAGGCACCAGGAGTTTGCAGTCTGGTGTCTGACATACGAACTCCCTTGGAGAGTGGGAAGGGAAAGACAGGCTCAACTCTCCTTTCTCTCCTTAGTTCTTGCCTTGTGCTGACACAACTCATTCACTAGGACATCCGCCGATGGTGAAAGATTACTTCTCACTTGACTCGAGCCCACCTTCCTAACCTGACTATCTGCGTTTTACTCCAGGTATGTAAGCCAGGTGATTGTCAGTGACGTGGCAGTTAAGAGGAAATGGCACTTCCTGTGCAACTGCTGGCTGGCCGTGGACATAGGAGATTGCGAGCAGGACCGGGTCTTCGTACCGGCCTCAGAGAGAGAGCTCCTTTCCTTTAGGTACGCTTGGGAAATCACTGTTAGCAGTAGATGCTGACGCGCCGTCCAGGTGAATGTACCTTGACTACCTGCTACCTTTGCCGTCCAGGTGAATGTACCTTGACTACCTGCTACGTTTCTTCCCTGCTGTTTTTTGAGTTCAATGATTATCAGAGCTCTTGGCTTTTTCCTCATGGGAACAAGATGACTGACTTCAAGAAGTCCAAGCACCTTACATAAAAATACCTTAAAGGCAAAAAAGATGGAACTACTTCTTGCAGAGCCTGATTCCCCTTTCTTTTTTAAAAATAGTGCTTAATTCTTTCTCACTAATATTTCCTCTTTCTCCTCTTGTGTGATTGAGTAATCAGGACTTCCAGAATAGCAAGAAATAATAAGTTATTTATTAAGAATCATTCCTATTACTGTGGTTTTTTGTTGTTGTTTTTTTGTTTGGACAGAGCTCGCTTTGTTGCCAGGCTACGAGTGCGTGGTGTCACTAGCTCATGAGCAACGCCTCAAACCTCCTGGGCTCGAGCAATCCTTCTTCCTCAGCTCCCGAGTAAGTCTGGGACTACAGCATGTGCACCATGCCGCAGCTCATTTATTCTATAATACCTCGTAATATAACTTAGTGGCCAGTTAATTGTTTGTTTATAGTAGAGGACACGGGTCTCGCTCCTCTGCTCAGTTCTGTTCCCGAACTCCTGACCTCTGTGCAATCTGCCCGCCTCGGCCTCCAGAAGTGCTAGATTAATACGCGTGAGCCACTGCGCCGGCCCTCATTACTATTGCTGCTCCCAAAAGTCAGTAGATTAAGATGACCGTTTTCTTCTTGGTTTTGGGGATGGACTGGTTTTTTCTTGGGCTCCTGCGTAGTGCTCTCTGGGCTGCCTGGTGTCAGAAGTCCAAAAGTGGCTCCCTGGTGTGGCCAGCAGGTGGTGCTGCCTGCAGCTGGGAGCACATCTGTGGCTTCAGAAAGTGTATCTGGATTCTTCACAAGGTGGCTGGCTTCTCCCAGGATGGGCATTTCAAGAGAACTAATTGGAAGCTCTGGCCCTTTGGACTCAGCTGGAAGACAATCCAGGGGAAGGGCGACCTGTGCTGGCGACGTACAAAATTTTGAGACTTTTTTTCTCTGAATTGCCCAGAACCAGGCAAGTTTCATTTTGGTTTTCTTTCGTTCTTTGTTTTCTTTTTTTCTTTGGTATGTCTGGGCGTCCCAACGTTGCACTTTTGCTACATCGAGTCAATACACCTATTGATCTGTGCACTCCGCGTTCCGCGGCCAACCATCTGACCATGTTCTCCTGCGTTTTCACCCACCTTGGCTCTCCATTGCCATCCTTACTGTTGCTTCTCATCCGTCACTTTTAGCCACGTGTAACACTGCTGTTTGTCTTCTGTGTCTGATGTTTCATTCTTAAGATAATGCTTCTTCCATCATGCCCTGCTATCTGCCTATTCATATGGCATTAAGAACTGACTGCCTGCCGCCTCCCCGCCCGCCGGTGCCTGTCCATCTAGTCGGGGCGTCGGGCAGGCGTGCTCTCAAGGTCAGACTTCGCCTGCGCCGAGTGCTCCATTCTCACTACTGCAGAGCTCGCCTCACTACCCTATCCACAAATTAGCCGGGTGGTGGGCGCGTCGTCCGCTCTGCGGTTAGCAGAGATCGCTGAGGCCGGAGTCTCTTAGGGCGAGCTCGCTGCTGCACAACGGTACTCTCTACCCGGCCACAGAGTGACACTCTGTCTCAAAAAAAAAAAAAAATGAGTTCTAATTTAATGGTTGAGTATGTGTAGCGTTTGTTTTTCCATCTTTTGTGATACTTCACTAGACAGGAGGTCTCCCAGCTGTTCTCCAGGTTAATACAAGAGATGTTCACCATTGTTCTGCTCATAATACCGTCACATTTTATTAATCCCCCTGCTCCTTATCGCACTGGGGTCATTTCCACACTTTGCAATGTGAACTTGTGCTTCGTTATCTGTTTGCCTCTCAAACTGGTCACTTGTTGAATTTGCCTGTGTCCTTTAGCAACTAACGGAAACTCCCAAAAACATTTCCAAAAAAAAGGTTAAATGTTTTTTTTGGGGTGCTAGCTAACGAAGTTCTATCTTCTTTATGCGACAGTACCCTAGCACATTTCCCCCTAGGTTTCTTTGGGTGAACTGAAACACATTTCTATCCCTAAACAATGACAATGGGCATGCAGTCACCTTACTTGGCTTAAACAATCATGATTCCCTCCCAGGGGTCAACATACCCATGTTTCTACTTGTTACTGGAAAATCAGGTTTCTATTAGAAAAGAGGAAGAAGGAAATAAACGGCTTTTGGATAGGCAACCAAGAGTGTCTGCCAATCTGCAGGGAACATTCTGGTATCTGTACTTCTTTAGATGTGTGCTGAAATTCTTTGGGGTATGTACCTAGAAGTGGAATTTCTGAGTTGAAGGGTGTGCACATTATAAACAAAAATGATAGTCTGATAACTCCAGGGATTGAAGAGTTTGTGCAACAATGGGAAGTATTATGTACTGGTTGTAGCAGTGTCAAATGGTAGAGTTTGCTTTTAATGTAGGTGGTATCTTTCTAAAATTACATATTTTAAATTGTTTGTTGCTTGTGTATAGAAGTAAACTGGTAGAAATGTCCTCTTCTTAATGAAAGCTTAAGTGGTAAATAAGTATCCCCCTACCCCTATACCTGACTCAGTTCTAGTATGTTTTATTTTTGAGATGGGGTCTCGCAGTGTTGCCCAGGCTAGTCTCAAACTCCTGGGCTCAGGCACTCCTCCTGCCTTAGCCTCTCAAGTAGCTGGGATTACAGGTACATGCCACTGTGCCCAGCTAGTTGTAGTATTTGTTATAATATATGGGTATACTTAAGATTTCAAGTGTATTCATTTTGTTGTTGGAATGTGATTTTTTTATCTGTTTAATCTGTTTATCTGTTTAATATCTGTTTATCATAGAGGTATTATGATGGATTAGTTAATTCTTTAATTATGTATGTTTTTATTACATACACATATTTTGAAGGTATTTTGTTAGGAAATTTAAGTGCATGTTATTCTGGGTGAATTTTTCCTTTTCCTTTTTTTATTACATAGCTTTCCTTTTTATCCTTTTAACACTTTTCATCTTAAATTCTATTTTGTCTGATATTAATATTAGTGTGTCAAGTTTCTTTGGTTAATGTTTCTATTGAATATCTGTTTACTTTTAGCCCTTTCCTATGATTTTGCTTAGATGCATGTCTTACAAGCCACATATCATAGTATTATTAAAAATAAGATCGAATCTCTCTATCTTAATATGTGAGTTTAATATGTTTACATTAATTATGATTACTGATCCATTTGGACTATACCATCTCATTTTGCGTTATTTAATACCATCCTTTCTGATAGATTGACAGGGTTTTTGAAAAATGTTCCCTACCTCCTGTATTGTTAATCTTTCCTGGTTTAGAAACTGTACATTGCATTTCTTTCCTCTTCCTGCTCTTCTCTTTCTATCTCCTGCTGCTGTTTCTCCTCTTTTGCCTCCTTCCAGTTCTTTTTGGTGGTTAGCTTTAACTTTTTAACATGTTTTCTTCACTGTTTAATTTTCTAAGAAGGTCTTATTTATTATCAGTTTGTTCCTCCTGAACATGACAGAGAACTAGAAAATGCTTTAACCACTCTTGAATAACCTCTCTCCCAACTCCCATGTTTTAAATTACTGTCTAGGCTGGGCGCAGTGGCTGACGCCTGTAACCCTAACACTTTAGGAGGCCGAGGTGGGAGGATTGCTTGAGACCAGGTGTTTGAGACCTGCCTGGGCCACATAGCAAGACCCTGTCTCTAGAAAAATTTTTTTAAACTAGCCAGGCGTGGTGGCGCATGCCTGTAGTCCCAGCTACTTGGGAGGCTGGGGCAGGAGGCTCATTTGAGCCCAGTAGTTTGAGGATGCTGTGAGCTATGAACACACTACTGAACTACAACCTAGGCAACAGAGTCTTACTCCCACCTGTGTTCTGCTTTCTTCCAGGCCTAGAGCTGCTGCAAAGTCCTGTGGCTTCTACCTCACTCACCGCCTTGTTTTCTCATTCCATTTCTCTTCCTTGGCTATGTTTTTGTTTTTAAGCCCAGCCGAGTCTTTTTGGTTCTTTATTTTTACGCTAATTATTCTACCGCGTTCCTCCACATTTGGAAGATACGCATAGTGCTCAAGTCTGAATACCGGCAAAACTATTTGCGTGGAAGCTTACATGTCAAACTTATTTGAAGAAGGTGAAAGAATTAATCCAAACCTCTCATAACGGTAAAAACCCAACGATAATTTTTTTTTCTCTCTTTTTTTTAAACTGGTTAAACTGTTGGCACAATATACACATTACTCTCTCCTCGCCTCAGAAAACCTTCTGTCCTAAAATAACAAAAGAATCAAATGATCTGCACCTTTTTTCTACGAGGTGTAGATAGGAATGACACGGCGCCGAGGAGTTGCTGTTACGGCCGTACCTGCTGCGCCAAACACGCATCTCAGTGGAGGGCAAGCTTTTCAACTGAAAATCTTAACGTTTTTCCAATTCTGATTTCTTCCTGTTGCATGAGCAACCCATTTCTTCAGTGATTGTGGAAAAGTTCACCCAGGATTACCTGTGGCTCTCGGTGGCCAAGCTCGCTCCCTGGAGCCAGTTTCACTGAGGGTCACCAGCGGCTCTCGCTGGGCTGCGCGACGTGCTCCTGCTGCAACACTCGGTCCCAGCGGCGTATGTTCTGGAAGGGACCGCCGCCCGCCCGAGAGAGACCGCGCCCGCCACCGCTCGGGCCGGCCGCGCGTGGCGGGCGTGCGCGCGCGCGACCCTTTCTCTCTACTCTCGCCTCCTTCAGCTCAGCACAGCAGAATCGATGATGCAACCCTTCAGCTTCTCGCTCCCATCTAACCCTGACATTAGCAAATACGCTACCAGATCGTTTTCTCAGGCTGTTCCCTTTCATGTAACATAATGAGCAGTCATTAAGGAATTACATCCTGGGATGCTGACTGCCGTGGTACATTTTCTATCCCTAGATAAACATAAAGCCTAAATCGAATACGTTACAACACCTTAAGAAGCCAGGAATTGACTTTGTGAGGAAGTTAATCGTTGAGAATGGATGAACGGTGACACAATGCTTTTCTTTCAGTGAGTCCGTTTGCCCTGACCTGGTCCGAACTGCTTGTCAGCGTCCAAACGGCTGTCATCCTTTTCCCAGTCAATCTTGTCGTTGGGCAGCTCTTCCCGTTGATCTTCAGCCTCGGGAAACGCTGCCGCCGCCCTTACCCTCCTCCCAGGCCTCCTGCCTCTCGGATGCTTCTATCCAGCCCCTCTCGCTCACAAAGGTGGTCGAGGTAAGGTAAACCACACGGTCCCCTTCCCTACGTAATGGGAAAGAGCAGCGGAAAGGATCTCTTCAAGGCTTTTGGGGTCCTTTTACCCTTAAAATCTTTCCCCTAACTCCTGTCCCTGGAGTTGTGATCAGTCGTACCTCTAGCTTTTACCCTTGATGATAAAGTATTTTGAGGACAGAGTGGGAATGCATTACGTACTACTCGAGTTGTTTTAGTTTTTGATGTTTGATGGAACTTGTCCCTTCTTTCATTCTATATTCTCTCATGAAACTAGCGACTGCTCTCTGAAATATTAGAAAATGAAAACTTGAGCTTCGTTACACAAAGCCCATCCCCCTCTGACTATAAGAAACACCCTAGGCTGGGCGCGGTGGCTCACGCCTGTAATCCTAGCACTCTGGGAGGCCGAGGCGGGTGGATTGCTTGAGGTGAGAAGTTCGAAACCAGGCTGAGCAAGAGCGAGACCCCCGTCTCTACTATGAATAGAAAGAAAAAAAAGTTAATTGGTCAACTAATACATATAGAAAAAATTAGCCGGGCATGGTGGCGAATGCCTGTAGTCTCAGCCACTTGGGAGGCTGAGGCAGTAGGATTGCTTGAGCCCAGGAGTTTGAGGTTGCTGTGAGCTAGGCTGACGCCATGGCACTCACTCTAGCCTGGGCAACAAAGTGAGACTCTGTCTCAAAAAAAAAAAACAAAAAAAAACAGCTAACTAACTGTAATCAATACCAGTCCTGGGTCAATGTACAACATACGAATTTTTCTCATCTTGTTTCTACCTTCAGGAATTAAAGGAAACTGTGGGATTCTTGCTCAGGAGAAATCCATATCTGCTTTCAGAGTGTGATCAATCTTCATGGAGTTCTCATGACATTAACAAGCTGGCGACACTCTTATCCAGCCTCATTTATTCTCACTTAGAGGGTCAAGGTTGTCATCAGGCAGAACCCCCCTGGGCAAATGGGAAAGGTGGGTAGATTTTAGTAACTCACCTTTCATCTGCCTCCCGCGCCCTTGCACGTCTCTTACTTTCTTATTCATAACCGACAGGCATGATACAACTTTCTGCTTGTTTTAATTTCTTTAAGCTTTCAGTATAGAGCTAGTAGCTCTGATCCCTTTGATGGCTTCTAGACAATCTACCTGATGATTTAAAGTACAAGATTAAGGAAAAAATGACAAAAATATTCTCTGTATCAGACCCCCCTTATTCCATCTGCTTTGTTAAAGGCTGTTGGAATTTGTCGTTCTTTTTCTTCCATAGAATGGTGAGATTATGCAGTTTATCAAACTCAAATACAGTTTGAGTCTCCTGAGCACTTACCAGTATGGGTTGTATATCCTGCAGTTCTAGAGAAACAGCTCGATGAGGTTTTAAAAGTCTTGAGATCAAAGTTTAGAATTTTAGAATTGTTAAAAATTCACCAGCATCCTCAGAGAAAGACAGTAACACTGTAGGTGTTGGGTCCAATCTCCATCAGTACTGGGAAAATGTAACCTTATCAGCAACTAATACATTGCTCATCTCTACCCCTAATTGCTACTTACTGAAATCGTCCACTTATTGAAAGTGTCAACTTGAAATATATTTTCAGTGGCTCCTGAAAACCACCGTCACTTCTGCTGTTACCTGCTCCGAGTTCTGCAGAGGCTGAAATGTCACATAGGCACACTGGGTCTCACTCAGGGTCACCAGCCCTGGGACTCCCTAGATACAGCCAGCCAGCTTCAGAAACTCCAGGAACTCTTGAAAACACATACTCTTCCCTCGGAGGAAGAGCCGTCCAGGTAATGTACCACACCAGGCTCTCTTTATCACCTGTAATCCTCTCTCTCAGCTGTTGGGTACAAGATTGTTCCTTCTACTTTTGTCCTTCAGGGAGATAACCAGTTTCCCCATGCTGAGCTCAGGAGAAGGGAAGAATCCCATCTCTGGCAGCCTGCCCACATGGTTGCCTTACATCTGCTGGCTCCTCCTAGGGGTCACTAGCCTGGCTTCAGCCTTTTTTACAGCACTTTATAGCTTGGAATTGAACAGAGACCAAGCCACCAGCTGGGTGGTTTCGATTATTTTATCAGTGCTTCAGAACATCTTCCTCAGCCAGCCAGTAAAGGTACGTGAGGACTGGAACAAACCGTTCTAGTCACGGGAAGCTTGGGAAACTGGGGCCCCATGGATGTCAATCCAAGGTTTGGATTGATTACAAGCTTAATGGTTTTTGACAATTTAACAACAACAAAAACCATAACAACTCAATTAGGAAGAGTGACCTTTGTTAGGTATATGTGTAAGACCATCAGAGGTCTTCCAAAGATACTGAGGGACATCGTTGAACAACTTACATACGTCATCACAAATAATTTAACAGTTTAAGCTTTCCTAGCCAACCACTTTAAGAACTACAAATAAAAATGAGAATTTTAACATTATGTAGACTCCTGGGGCCCTTCCATGTCCCCATCATTATGAAAAACAATGAGTGTAAAATCAGTTCATTGTCAGTTTTCCATAAAACTAAAGGGCCAATTGAAATTTATTAATACCCCCCTTTTCCTTTGTGTATAACATGTGATGTCATCTTCTGGGATGTGTACTGTCTGCTCATTAGTTGTTCCTCCTACGATTTTCCTGCCAGGTGATCGTCCTCACATTCTTACTCTCACTGATGACGAACAGGATGCCGTGGCTTAACAAGGAGAAAGAACAACAAACGAGGAGGGTCTTGGCACTCTTGGGTAATTCAAGTACTAACTGCTGTCTGATTTTGCAAAGATCAAATTATACCAGACTGGCAGAATTCTAACCACTTTACTGACACATTTATCTGTCTGCTGACAGATGTATCCATTCAAAGATCTTGTCTCTAATCAGCTGGTTCCTCCTCTTCTGCCCATGGTTAATTGATGTGTCACCAAAACTCTACACATTCCTCCCTAGATCATCACACCCTCACTCCGTGCTTCATGTCACCCCAGCATTCTAGATCTGCTTCTCAATCTTTCTTTCTTTCTCTCCTGAGCCCCAGCTATTATCTGTAGCTGAGTGCCTGCAAATGTCTCAAATTAAAACAAATTATTTACCTGCCCCACTGATCCACTTCTTTACTATATTTTCTCATCTCAATCAAGAGCGTCACCATTTTCTAAAAATAAGTACCAGAGTACCAGGTCCTAAAGCCCTGTTTTATTCCCCACATTCTCAGTCACCAAGCCTGAGAATGTCTACCCTCTACATAAGATCCTCTCAAACCACCTGGATGAAGCTCAGCAACTCAACGTTGGGCAAAAGAGCAAGTTGCAGAAAAATTAGCGCAGTATTTTAATCATGTAAAAACAATGCATGTCTTAACTAGAGGATATATAGGTATCTCCTTTATAAATTTATAGATGAAGAAATGCATGGGAATGGTGAACTCTAAAATTCAGGAAAGTCTGGCTTCTCCAAGGAAAAGAAGGGAAACCATGATGCAGGGATACACTTAATGCATTTTGAACTGTTGTGCTCTCTGCCTTAAAGTGACATTTTTTTCTTATCTTCACCCTTGTCCATCTGTAAAACTCTGACTCAGCCTCCAAAATAAACGTTAAATGTCACTTCCTCTATGAAGCCTTCTCTGACTTTCTTGGGGAGATTTATTAGTTCACTCTTCAGGGATCCCATGGCACTTCACACGCACATGCTGTCCCATTCTGTGTTGTACTGTAATTCCCTTCCTCTCTTTCCCTCTTGATGTATATGTCTCTTTATTCTTCCAGTCACAGTGTTATCTGCAGACCAGCAGCATTGCCACCTGGCATTGTCAGAAATGCGGAATCTTAGGCCTCACCCCAGAATTTGCGTCTTAACAAAATTCCCAGGCGATTCCTTTGCACATTAAAATCAGGGAAACATTGCTGAAGAACAGTGCTTCCCTAAGTGTGGTCCACTGACTTAGAAGTGTTTCTTTCTAGTCCAAGATAAGTAGAGAAATCCAGTGTAAGCATTTAGACACTTATGTCAATTTGACAGGCGAATTTTATGCCTATGGAATCTAATTTCCAATATAGGAAATGAGCCGGGCATGGTGGTGCCATGCCTATAGTCCCAGCTAGTTGGGGGAGGCTGAGGCAGGAGGATTGTTGGAGCCCAGGAGTTTGAGGTTGCTGTGAGCTAGGCTGATGCCACAGCACTCTAGCCCAGGCAACAGGAGTGAAGACTCTGTCTCAAAAAAAAAAAAAAAAAAAATAGAGCTCATGTTTTACATGCTTCTGTTTTGTATTTCATTTTTCCAGCAACTCATTTTTATACAAAAGTGTTGATCCCCGATGGATTGGAGTTTTTCTGAAAACAGGTCCTTCACCGCAAATAGTTTGAATAGGTACTGGATAGGTACCTATTCAAATAGCACTGGATAGGTAGCTTTATTCCTTATTTCTTCAACATGTAACAGGAGGTGCTTACAGTGTTGCCCAACACATGTTGGTGAGTGACCACTTAATGAAATACGACATTTCTTTTCTCTACATTTGAATTTTTGCAGCAAAATGTTCTTCACCATTACCTGGTTTGAGAGACAAGAACAACCCCATCACAGTGGCCCCAGCTATGAACAGTCCAACGAAGCACCCAGAAAGAACCTTGAAAGGGAAGAGGCTCTTCAGGCTGACTGGAGATATTTTGGGTACGGAGAGGAAATGGCAACATGTCTATACGGCAGCATACTTTCCAAGAGGGAAGGGCAGGGGGAGAGGACAAAATGAAAAATACAAAAGGGTGAAAAGGTATCTTTTAAAATCTTCACCTTGGCCGGGCGCGGTGGCTCACGCCTGTAATCCTAGCTCTCTGGGAGGCCGAGGCGGGCGGATTGCTCGAGGTCGGGAGTTCGAAACCAGCCTGAGCAAGAGCGAGACCCCGTCTCTACTATACATAGAAAGAAACTAATTGGCCAACTAATATTATAGAAAAAATTAGCCGGTATGGTGGGTGCATACCTGTAGTCCCAGCTACTTGGGAGGCTGAGACAGAAGGATCCCTTGAGCCAGGAGATTGAGGTTGCTGTGAGCTAGGCTGACCGCACGGCACTCACTTAGCCTGGGCAACAAAGCGAGACTCTGTCTCAAAAAAAAAAAAAAAAAAAAAATCTTCACCTTGTGAAAATGGAGATTCTGGTGAGCAAAGTGATATGATAAGTGGATAGACTCCTGAACTTGGAGTCTTGAGATTTCATTGTCACTTTCTTTACCTACAAAAACGTAATGACAATATTTGATCATTAAATACACACATACGGGGTGGAGGGAAAATGAAAATGCTTCGGAAAACGGCTATTCTGTAGGTGCTAGGTGACTTGGCTTCAACACATCTAGTGCTCTGTTGGTTTCCCTGGACCAAACAGGACAGGTTCTGTTTTATCATGCCATCGCTTCTTGTGAACACGGACAGTTGAGCGGAAGCAAGAGAGAGAAAGAGTGTACACACACGCACATGCTTAGTTCTAAGAACTAAACATGGTATTATTTTTGTTTTGTGGTTTTTTTGAGACAGGATCTCACTTTGTTGCCCAGGCTAGAGTGAGTGCCGTGGCATCAGCCTAGCTCACAGCAACCTCAAACTCCTGGGCTCAAGCGATCCTTCTGCCTCAGCCTCCCAGGTAGCTGGGACTACAGGCATGCGCCAGCATGCCCAGCTAATTTTTTGTATATATATTAGTTGGCCAATTAATTTCTCTCTATTTATAGTAGAGACGGGGTCTCACTCTTGCTCAGGCTGGTTTTGAACTCCTGACCTTGAGCAATCCGCCGGCCTCGGCCTCCCAGAGTGCCAGGATTACAGGCGTGAGCCACCACGCCCGGCCTAAACACGGTATTTTTATGTGGGATTTTATGTATCTTATTTTAAGTAAAACTTCTAATTAATGACAGAATAATTCTAGGAAGCAATTTATATATATATGTGTGTGTGTATATCTACACACACACACACACACACGTATATATTATCAATTATTAGGTGAACCATGTGAAATGCCAATTTCTGAACTTTTTTGACCTGCAAAAGTCTAAAGGCTTAGAAAAAATAAAAATGTGTAGAGTATTTCTAAGTTACCCACTCAATTATGGTATTTTTCCATCTAAACTAGTACAAATCCTCTTCCTTATCCTGTTGATGACTACGGTCTACTCTGCAAGGAACTCCAATAGATTTTACCTCCGTCAAGCTATCTGGAAGAGCTTTTCTCAACATTTTTCAGAAATCAAACTTCTTGAGGATTTCTACCCCTGGGCCAATCGCACCCTCCTTCCTAACCTGTACGGGGATTACAGAGGTAAGAGTCACAATCCTGGGGCCCTGGTCATACAAATGTGGAGTGCAATTAGTTTTCCAGACATCCCTCCCAAGAGCGATGAGAAACTGGAGAAAGGCCATTGGGCTGCTTCTATATGGCTGCCACCCTGTGGGTACCCCGAGGGTCTGTTCCCTGGACCTCATCTAAGCAGGTCCAGTTACATCTGTTCACCCAGGCCCATGGGCACTGGTTCCCACTGCTGTGTCTTACAAAATGCTGACAAATGAGAATGAGAATGGATTCCGTTACAGCACGGAAAGTAACTAGAGTAACCCCTGGGACTGGATCACAGGTAGCAAAGCAGGCTGTTCAGTGAGTGCAAACCAGGAATGTGGTCTAACTGGAAGGGTCTCCCCATGAGATGATATTTTGACCTGAGGTGCAATCTTTCCCAGGTGTGTGACCGTGTCTGTATAATTTGTGTGGTTATCTGGTTCCACAAACATGCATTGGACACCTGTAATATGCTGGGAACTGTCCTAGGAGCTAATGATTTAAAAAAAAGAAAGAAAGAAAGTGGACATAGTATGGTTTGCCCTGGACAGTGTTGAAGAAATGCTAAAAAATTTCTTTCCTTAGGAATACTACTTGTTCAGTATTTTTCACCAGTTACCAACACTTCGTCGTTACATAACTTTATATCTTGCATTCTAGAAATGATTGCGTTCATGTATCTGAGGATTGGTCGCTTCCTGATGAGCTTTGGAAGCATCTCCTAGGTTCCTGAGAAGAATCCAAAATATATGTTCATCTCAGCAACACTTGAAGATACACTTAGTGTGTTTGGGAGAGTTTTTATAGATGGCAACTCTTACTCATTGCATCTTGATTCTATTTAGTTCAGTTGTAGATGGTGACAGTTCTAGGATCAGGGAACGTTCTGTTTGCATTCTGTCACTCTATGCTGAACAAAATGACTACATCAAAGCACCTGGAACCCTGGGTGGCTAAGGTCTGCGCCGTCACAGCAGGTGTGGCCTCCTCTTGGACTCCTTGGCCCCGTGGGATCGTGTCGTGGTCCAAGAGCACAGACTCAGAAGCCAGACTGCCCAGGATTGCACCCTGGCTCTCCATGTACCAGCAGTGTGATCTCGGGTACATTATTCAATCTTATGTGCCTCAGACTCCCTGTCTATACAATGGGGATGATTTTGGGATCTACCCTGTAAGACTGATATGAAGATTAAAAGGTTAATAGGTCTAAGTGCTTAGAACAGCAATCTGGCACATGATATTCACTGGGTAAGTGTTAGCTATTATTAATATTAACTGATGCACTTGGAGTTCTGGCTAACCCACTAGAACAAGAAAGTTTATGTGAGTTACCTGGCATATTAAGGAACAGCAACTGCAAATCTGTGAACGTACATAAAGTAGAATTAAGTAGATGTGTTAAAAGCAGTAAAAATTGGCAACGACGTGGTTTATCTCTTCAACTACTAAAAATCTTGACTTTGAAGACTGATGTAGCCCAGTCCTATTAGTTCAATGTTTTCAGGAACTCTGACACCCAAGCTATGCACAGATTTTTAAAAATTTACAGATTGTTATGCAGACATTTTTTAACAGTTAAAAATCTGTATCCTGTAAATACATAACTTTCCTGAATAGGCTCATCTAATATTTAATCACCTTTAGGGAAGCATCATTTTTGGTAGGACTTAATTAAAATTTCTCTTACAGCATTTTAGGCTTGCTTTACTCAGGAGACTGAGGCAGGAGGATTGCTTGAGCCCAGGAGTTTGAGGTTGCTGTGACCTCGGCTGATGCCACTGCACTCTAGCCTGGGGAACAGAGCAAGACTCTGTCTCAATAAATAATATAGTGTCTTCTCTGAGGCCCCAGTTAGGAAGTGGTGACCTGTTTTGACTTGTAGAAGCTTTTTATGTATTATGAGCTTATCTAGTTGTAGATAGAGATTTATATAGATATAGACTAAGAACCTATAAACATTAATTTAGAGAACTTATTCTCTTCCTACCTAGGATCATGGTAGGCTTTTCTGTTTTCATTTTCATTTTCATTTGTATCCTTGAGTAATATTGAGAATTGTTCCTCAGATGGTTTTTGCATATCACTTGTTAGGTTTATTTTATCTTTTGTATTGCTATTATAAATGAGATATCATATTACTTTATACCTTCTAAGTAAATACTATGTGGCCATATGAAAGCTATTGATTTATATTTATTTAGTACCTCACCACCTTACTGAATTACCTTTTTTGTAACTATAATTGAGCCTTGAATAACATGGGGGGATTAGGAGCACTGACCTCATGCAGTAGAAAATCCACATATAACTTTTTTTATTTCAGCACATTATCACAAATAACTGTACAAATCACATATAACTCTTAACTCCCCTAAAACGTAACCACTAATAACCTATTGTTGACAGAAAGCCTTACTGATAACATAGTCAGTTAACACATACTTTGTATGTTATTTGTATTATATGCTATATTCTTACAATAAAGGAAGCCAGAGAAAAGAAAATGTTATTAAAAAAATCATAAGGAAGAAAAAATAGTCCAGGTGTGGTGGCTCATGCCTGTAATCGTAGCACTCTGGGAAGCTGAGGTGGGAGAATCGCTTGAGCTCAGGAGTTCAAGACCCGCCTGAGCAAGAGCTTTAAAAAAATAAATACATACATAAATAAATTTTTCAAAAGGAAATAATTTACTGTTCATTAAGTAGAAGTGGATCATCATAAAGGTCTTCATCCTCATCATCTTTACATTGAGCAGGCAGAGGAAGAGGAGGGGTTTGGTCTTACTGTCTAAGGTGGCAGAGGTAGAAGAAAATTTGCTTATAATTGGACCTGTGTAGTTGAAACCTGTGTTGTTGAAGGGACAACTGTAATAGCTTTTGAGTTGATTCTCTTAATTTACAAATCATGATAATTTCACTTCACTTTTTTATTTTTATACCTCTTTTTCTTACCTAATTGCATTAGCTAGTACCTCTAAAAATGTTTTCAAACATAGTGGTGAAAGTGTGCATCTTTGTCTTGTCACTAAGTTAATGAGGCAATTTATAAAATTGTTTCTTTTACTTTCTCATTAGGATTTATTACTGATGGGAACTCCTTTCTTTTGGGCAACGTTCTGCTTCGTCAGATTCGTATTCCCAATGCTACACTCTCCCCAGCTACAGTGTCTCCCCAAGAACAAGCGAGGCCATCTCACCAACACCAGGAGGATACGGGGAACTATGGGGTAAATTGGGGACCCCCTGACACGAGCATCACAGAATCAGATAGCATTTGGCATTACCAGAAGCAGGAGACACTGGGTGGTTATCCTGTCCAAGGGGAGTTTGCCACTTACTCAGGAGGCGGATATGTTGTCAAACTTGGAAGAAACTCCAGTACTGCAACCAGGTGAGCAAGCCTGAGCCCTGAACAAGGGGACCAGGGTGTGTTTGCTTCCGGCTGTTCATAGGACAATTATGAATTCAGGACCCATTTGAGTAGTTTCAACAGCCACTCTACTGTCTGTACCACTTGTAGACACTTTTATTTTAGACTTCAAAGGAAGTATACTTTTGGTTTAAAAAAAAAAAAAAATTCTTGTTCAGTTTCAAACTACAAGTATGTTTTGGTTTGGCAGTTTGTCAAATTTGGCCTTACCTGGAAAAACATACATCAATTTCAATCCTAGTTGCAGTTAAATTCGGGTAACTCTAGCTTGGACACACTGTCCTCTTCAAATATAAAAGGCAACACTGCCCTTCACGAGCCATGATGTGTACATCAATCCAAAATTCAAATGCCAAAATTAAATTTCCAGAGACTTACGGAATGGTTTAGTGTTTTGAGAGTCTTTGTCATTACCTATGGAAAAGTTAGAATTAAAATAATTATCTCCTCATGTAAACTTACAGCAAGGAATTAATTACTCAAAACCAATAATGCTAACTAAATAATGACATTTATACTCCTACCTCTTAAAACTGAATAGCTGTTAGTAAAGAAATAGCGTTTACTATTTCAAATGGAAGTAGCTTATGTAGTGTATGAAATTAATTACACCTCAGATCTTAATGCCAAATATATTTTCCTAAATGTTTAACCTTGGTGTGAATGCTGTTGTGACAACTCTCATTTTTTATAGTCTACTAAATTTCATGTTAACACCAGTGAAAGTTTGGGCATTCGTAATCATAAAATATTTTATAAGGAAACTAGATTGGGAAATGTAGCTTCTTACCTGGTATGTGACAACGATGTTGGGAATGTGAGGACATTTTTCTCCTTTGCAGTGCTGAATGAAGAAAGTAGCTGGCCCTGTCGTTTTGTTTCCCCAGAGTTCTACAGCATCTTGAACAGAGTCACTGGCTAGACCAATGCACAAAATGCCTCTTCGTGGAATTTGTGGTCTTCAATGCTAATGTGAACCTGTTCTGTGTTGTGACCCTGATTTTGGAGTCCAGTGATGTGGGTATGAAGGCCTCTGCTCTCCTCCCTCTGTGTTCTGCTGCTGTGATTTGGATGTTTGTTCCCTCCAAACCTCATGTTAAAATTTAATCCTTAATGTTAGAGGTGGGGCCTGATGGGGGAGATATTTGGACCATGGGGGTGGATCCCTCATAAATAAATTAATGCCCTCCCTTGGGGGTAAGTTCTCACACTGTTAGATCCAAAGAAAACGTTGTTAAAAAAGAGCCTGGCACCTCCCTGCTCTCCCTGGCTTCCTCTTGCCATGTGATATCTACACACACAGGCTCGCCTCACTTTTGCCATGAGTACAAGCAGCCCGAGGCCCTCACCAGATTCAGATGCCCAACCTTGAACTTTCTAGCTGTCAGAATCGTGAGCCAAATAAACCATGTTTCTTTTAAGTTAGCCAGACTGAGATATTCCTTTATAGTAACACAAAACAGACTAAGACACCTGGGTATCTCAGAAGAAGGTACACTTTCTTTCTCTATCTTATACTGTTCATTAAAAGATATTATTTTAAGGTTATTATGCATAAATGTAATTTTTTTTAAAGACAGGGTCTAACTATGTTGCCTACCTGGTCTTGAACTCAGGGGCTCAAGCAATCCTCCCATCTTAGCCTCCCGGGTAGCTGAGATTATGGGTGCCCATCACTGAACTCAGCTCATAAATATTATATAATTTTAAATGGAAAAAAACCAGCAGTTCTCAGTTCTTTCCTACTTCATTCTTACTCCCTAGAAGCAGCGACTTTCAGGTTGTTTAAACTAGTTCTTTCCGAGTTTAAAAATTATTAACATGCTTATTGGCTATTTCATGAATTTTTCAGTTTTAGATATTATCTATTTCTTCTGTGAAGATGAAGATTTAGCTTTCTTATACCCACATATATCCCAAATATAGACATACTCATACACATCTTTCCCCATTGCTCTTCCACTGTATTAATGGTAATACAATGTTTAGTTTGAGTATTTCCATTGTGATTACGTTTTTCAAAGATGAGACATGTAATAAGTTATGACTAAATTTACTTTCTTTTAAAACTTTGTTTTCCCTAGAATTTATAATTTCTTTTTTTCTTTTAATTTGCTTGGTTTTATATGTATGTATCATTGATTCATCTCCAAACTCTTCCTAGAAGCAAAAAATCTTTTTGTTCAAGAGTATCCCATAAAGTATCATTTTATCTTTGCCTTAGAGACACCCTCTAAGGGAGCTCCCATCCCTTGTGTACAATCTGGATTGGTTATGCTCTAAACCTGCTATTTAGAGCTATCATCCAGGCCCTCCCTTCACTGTCACCCTGGGGATTATCTCTGCTTTTCCCCTCTATCAGATTCCAGTCTTCTTCTTTTGGTTTACTTCCTCATTTTGCTAGAGCACATCCTCCAGTAACTTCCTGGAAGGGTGCAAGAGAGGGAGATAAACTTTTTGAAAGTTTACATGTCCAAAAAATGTCTTTATTCTGCTATCATATTAGATTGCAGATATATATGAATAATGTCCTTTTTTTCTTTTTTTTTTTTTTTTTTTTTCTTTGAGACAGAGTCTCACTCTGTTTTCTGGGCTAGAGTGTCATGGCATCAGCCCTAGCTCACAGTAACCTCACACTTCTGGGCTCAGGCTATTCTCCTGCCTCAGCCTCCTGAGTAGCTGGGACTACAGGCACATACCACCAGGCCCTGCTAATTTTTTCTCTATATATTTTTAGTTCTCCAGCTAATTGCTTTTTTTTTTTTTTTTGAGACAGAGTCTCACTTTGTTTGTTGCCCAGGCTAGAGTGAGTGCCGTGGCGTCAGCCTAGCTCACAGCAACGTCATACTCCTGGGCTCAAGCAATCCCACTGCCTCAGCCTCCCGAGTAGCTGGGACTACAGGCATGCACCACCATGCCCGGCTCATTTTTTCTATATAAGTTGGCCAATTAATTTCTTTCTATTTATAGTAGAGATGGGGTCTGGCTCTTGCTCAGGCTGGTCTTGAACTCCTGACCTTGAGCAATCCCCTCGCCTCGGCCTCCCAGAGTGCTAAGATTACAGGTGTGAGCCGCTGCGCAGGCCAATGATGGGTCCTTTTGATTCTCAGCCCCTACCCCCAAAAGTATTCAGATTTCTTTTTTTTCCCCCAGGGTTATGAAGGGACCTCATGGTAAGCCTTTTTACTTGGAAACTTGTGTCCTTAAGTTCTGAGACATTTTCTTGCACTTTGCCCTTTTAATTTCTTCTCCATTTTCTCTCCACTTTTCCTGATACTCTTAGCATTTTGATGTTTGATCTCCTAGACTGATGCTCTGATTTTCTTATGTTTTTGCTGTTTTCCACGTTTTTCTTCTAATATCTGAGCAGTTACTTCAACTTTATCCTTCAAACCATTTGCTGACTTGTTCATTTCTATAATGTTTTAATTTCCAAACATTGTTTTTGTTCTCATATTTTTTATAGTCGCCTGTTTTTTTAATGGATGCAATATCATCTCTTAACTCTGAGGATATTATAGTGTTGTTCTTGTTTTTCTTCTGCTCCTTCACTTTCTTTAATTCCTCTAAGCTGCTCTTTTGGATATTTTGTTTTGATCCACAGTTTTCAATGTTAGAGGGTCAAGTGTCTGGCTGTCCTTTTACATTTAAAGGAAGGCAATAAAAAGCAAATAAATGCTAATTAGAAGCTCTAAGCCCATGGATAGAGCTTGTCAACTGGTATCTGTGTCTTTTCTTTTGGGGAGTTTTCACAGGACCTTCCAAACCTTGGCCTGGAGGGATGTGAGCATTATACTCTCAGAGCAGTTAAGAGGAAGGGACTGAGAAGAGTCTCACCATGCAGTATGTAAACTTTCCCTAATTCCCTTTTTCAGTAAACCATTGCTCTCAGAAGGTACCTGGTGTCCCTGATTTCAGATTCTCTTTAGTTCAACATCCCTAGGAAATAAACCTTTATTCTTGGGGTGGTGGAAGGCAGGATGGATAGCAAATACCTGGTTGTGAATGGTGAGAGGAAATCTGGGATTTAATTTATCTTCCAACTCTCAATCACTGCTTTTCTCAGTTCCACCTGAACCTCTACCTCCAGAGATACCTGATGCTTCCAATTTCTGAGCCTTTCTAGGGTTTTGTGGTTAGAATTGGCTTACTCCTGGGTCCTACACTGCTGGCTTAGGTTTCCGTTTTCTTGAACTTGCTAAGTCAGTATCATTCCTCTATTTCTCAGCTTCCAACACTTTGTCACTCTCACCTGCCCTCTTTTGTAAGGGATTGAAGGGAAACTGGTGCATTCAGTTCTCCCCACCTTTAACAAGGAGTCAGTCCTAATCCAACTTCCTTTCTCCTCCTCCTTTTCTTCCCCGGAATTGGCCCACAAGTGTCCTTCCACTTACCATTAGGCCTTACTCCTAATCAGGATTTTTTCTTCTCAGACCCACAAAGAGAAGACCACTTCTATCCTTATTTCCAGATAAAGCATAACAGCTTACTGAGGGTTTTCAGTAGTAACTACTAAAAACTGGATAGGGCCAAAATAAATGAGGGAAAGTCCCAGTCTTGAGAACTCGCTATGTGAAGTAGAGATTCCATTCCTAAATGTACTTTCTACCTAAAAGGGGTACATCTTAGCTCTAGTATTATGGAGCTTTATGAAAATTTTATATTCACAAGGCCTTTCATGATTTTATAAATATTCTCACTGTCCTTCCAGGTGGAGGCTGAAGCTTTTCAGTTCATCCTCATTTAAACATCTGAGCATCCATGGGATGCTACAGTACTCCAGAGCTGTTAGTGCTTTAGACGTTTGTCTCTGCGGCCCTTCTCACAGCCATTAAGCCACTGCCACTTCCTCTAGGTGGTGGGGTCAGATTTCATTTAATGTTGATAGCAGCTACCCAGAAATATTAAGTGGAGTCTAAAGACCCAGAATCATCTGAATTGATGATATAGGAACAGTTGGGGTTATTCAAAGACAAGGTTTGAAGAGGGCAGAAGTTTTAAACACTCTTGACTCCAGGTGTTCTGTTATTCCCAGGTGCTTTCTTCACTTCTGTGAGACTGGACAGTTTACCTTCCCTGCAGACATCAAAGAAGGGCTTTGCCTGGTCCGTCATCGCACAAGTCGTCTATTATCTACTCGTCTGTTACTATGCCTTCGTGCAGGTGAATTGAAAATGGAAGATGTAAGAAATAATACAGGTTGCCACATTGTATTTGGGGAGCTCTAAAAAGACGTGTTACTGGAATTATGGTTGTGATTTTGGTCCTTTCTAAAAACCTGAATTCAGTCAGAGGCTGACTTGTTTTTCACCAAGCAGAGTATAGTAGCTCTTGCAATTTTCAGGAGCTAAAGAATTAAGTCTGTAGAAATATCATTTTATGTACAGTTTTTACTATCCCTATATAAGTGATATCAAGAAAGTATGAGATGAACAAAGAGCAAGTACTCAAAAATATAAATGATTGCACTCAAAAGAGAGTATCTTAAGCCAAACACAGTATTTTTTTCTGTAGTCTTAGACTTGATTAATTTAGGAATGTTTTCTATTTATTTGTGACAGTCTATGATCTCTAAGAAAAAGAGTGAATGTATCCAATGGAAATCTTATTAGAGGTCACCTTTTCTGTAAGCATTTCTGAGTGACTACAGAGCAGACAGATGTGCTTTGCCTGTGGAAGTCAGCTGTGCTTGTAACACTTAATTAGGGAGAGACCTAGCTAATCTTTCCGACTGTGGTGTGTTTAGGGTCGCCGGCTGAAACGGCAAAGGTGGAAGTTCTTCTCTAGGAAGAGAAACATTCTGGTCACTGGCATAATCCTCATTAGCTTCACCATCTTGGGGCTTGACGTGAAGAGCATTTCTCTCCATAAGAAATACATGGCACAGTACCGCCGCGACCGGGACAGGTAAGGGGGAGCCAGAGGGGCACAGGTTATCCCTACCTTGTGTCTGAAGTTTCCTGGTTACACACACTTATTCTTTGAAACTCCCTCTCCTCCCCCTCCGCTGTCTGACCGGATGTGTATTTGTAGAATAACAGTTAAAACTAGAACCTGGACTAACGTCCACAGCAGAGAAAACAACTCCAAACCATATTTAACTGCTGGTCACATTGTAAACCTCTTGTGCCTTGACAGTGCTTAGGTATGTGCTTGTCAAGGACAATGGATTTACATTTCACAGATCAAGGTCCTGGAATTGGTCATTATTTTGTGCCAACTCATAAACCCTAAGGCATGACAAATAATCACCTTCTAAATAAAACTACAACACCTAGTCCATCCTTTAAATGCCAAGGGAATCGCTTTCTGGGCAGGGATGTTTATCCAAACTCACCCATACCGAGAGATGTTTGGTGTCTGTTTGGCTGCCTTCTCTGGTCTTCACGTGGAGAGGAGAATCAAGTGTTCCCACACCAAGTATCGCCCATTGGTGTTTTGCTAATCTCTTCAGTGACCAACAGCCTAGATGTGATCTGTGTAAGACTTTTCCTGAGGCACTGTCCTTGTGGGCCTTAGGGAAAGTTGTTCATGCGGGGGACAGGAGGTCTGCAGCTTGAATGGTGGTGACAGCCAAAGTCCAGCCTGGCATTGCCTAGGTCTTAGACAATAAGAATTGTGATCAAGTCCCAATTTGCTTGTGTCCATGGGGGTCTTTCTGAGTAACCTAGTTGCTGCAACATGTTATTTATTAACAATTATGTTATTTCTCACATAACAACCCCCAACTTGGTGAGCCTCAACCCTCCTCTCTAGTTTATCACCCATCATTCTAATCTAAGCACTATTAAACCCATACGTCAACTATTTACTCTCAGAGAACAGTACAGGATCAGAGTGTTCCAGAGAACAGATTACCATGATGGTTCTTCTCATTTGGGTTAACTCATCTCCTCTCGAGAATTTAACTTAGGCCAGACCAGTACAGGAGGCTGGTTTTGATTTCCAGGTGAATTTGGAGTAAATAAAATCAGCTAGAGGTCTCATTTGATGGTTTTCTCAGCACAGCTCCCAACCAAATACACGGCCTTTTGCTCACGTTCTCACATCTGCAAGCACAAAGAGGCCAAACTAGAAAGCAGAGTGCGTAGGTCAAGTGTTCAACCTAACAGGACTCAGAGCTGCTGTGCTTCACCAGCGGGAGCGCCGGAGAAACTGCTATCACAGGAATTGATGACGGCACGTACTTCCTGCTGAGTAACTGTCAGCTTTCCCTGGTACAGGTTCGTCAGCTTCTATGAGGCAGTGAAAGTGAACTCTGCTGCCATTCACCTCGCAGGCTTCCTGGTTCTCCTGGCCACTGTTCAGTTGTGGAACCTGCTACATCCTAACGCCAGGCTGCAGGTCATTGGCAGGACACTGAGCAAAGCCTGGGGCGAGGTGGTGGGCTTCCTGCTGATCATCTTGATCCTGCTCACGAGCTATGCCATTGCTGTAAGTCCCTGGGCCTTGTGTCTGTCCCCACATACTGGCATCCTAGAATCACCTCACTCTCCTTAGAAAAGAAAATCCATGAGTTTTGGAGGAAAAAGTAGCAGAGTAAGAAAGTTGGCTTTAGTTGTAGTTCCATAGTTAAACATCTGGATTTAAGTTATACTAGTTGTCTCCTCTCTAAAAATGGGGTTAAAATGTAGCTCCTCTGGGTAAGGTGATGGTCAAATAAATTTAAATGATAATACTATGTAATTACCAAGGCATTTGATGCAATTTTGGGGCATAGCAATATGAGTACCACAAGGAATTTCTTTCTATTCTATTGGTTCTATGTTGGCCACGTCATCAAGCACCTCAGGACAGAGACCTGCACTCCCACTCACTGACCCGCCTTTCTCCTCTTCAGTTTAACCTGCTGTTTGGATGGAGCATCTCTGACTACCAGACTTTTGTCAGCTCAGCAATGACTGTCGTTGGTCTCCTGATGGGTATTTCTCACCACAAGGAGGTAAAAAATAAAACCCATCCTAGTGTCTCTGTAGAATTCTATTTGGTTTAATTCTATTTTAAATTTCCACTTAATTTCATTTGGTTTAATTTCCCCCAAAGGACTATCAATACGAATCCTTGTCCTCCTCAACATAAGAGATATAAAGTAGAAAACCCAAATGAGGATTTGGGCTGCAAACACTAGTACGTGATTGGCACGTTTGCACAGGGAAGGAAAAAAGTGCAGTTTCAGTTAGTGAAACTGGTAAGACTTTCATCAAGGCTGATCATCCTGATGATCTGAAATTCAAAGGTTACTAATTAAAATAGGTAAGTTCAGTTTCTAATGTAGAAAATTACCACCATCCAAGAAAGAATATACAGTAGGCCTGTGTATCCGTGGGATCCGCATCCAGATTCAGTATTTGGAAATGAAATTAAAAACACAATAGAAAGTAATACAAATGTTTGCCAGGCATAGTAGCTCATGCCTGTAATGCTAGCACTTTGGAGGCCCAAGGCAGGAGGAGCTGCTTGAGGCCAGATTTTGAGAATAGCCTGAGCAACAAAGTGGAGGGAGACCCTGTCTCTACCAAAAGAAAAAAAAAAAATTAGCCATGCATGGTGGCATGCACCTGTAATCTCAGCTACTTGGGAGGCTGAGGCAAGAGGATCACTTGAGCTGGAGGTTGCAGTGAGCTATGATGCCGCCACTGCACTCTAGCCTGGGTACAATGTAAGATGTTGTATCCAGAAAAAATCTTAATTATTTACATTGCATTTCTACTGTATTAGGTATTGCAAGTAATCCAGAAAAGACAAAGTATACAAGAGGATATGCAGGTTATATGCAAATGCTATTAAGTATCTGGATTTCAGTATCCAAAGGGGTCCTGGAACCAATCTCCAGCAGATACTGAGGGGCGACTGTGACTGCTATTTTGGCTGGATTATTTTGTTGTGGGTCCCAGCTCCAATCAGTAGGGAATAGAGCCCTCCCCGCTGGAGCATTTTGTTACTTCCTTTAGAGCTTTAGAATACAATCAAAATAAACTATTGCTAACATGTATTTTCTTTTTCTTCTTGAAAATGTTTTATTTCAGCATATTATGGGGGTACACATGTGAAGGTTACGTACATTGCCCTTGCCCCCCCTCTCTCCTCATAACATGTATCTTTTGATAAAAAACATTTTTTCTGCTGTCACTTGTTGGGAAAAAAACTTGTATCACAAACTCAGACTGCCCAGGTTATTTGGTTTACTTGGCATTGGTACATAATTAAGCACATTTTAGTGGCAGATAGGTTGGTGCTTGAAAATATTTAGTCATCTAGAAGATTACTGTCAGGGTAGTGTTTATTATAAGTAACTGTCCTTTCAGTTGTTGGGCTTTTGTTGTTTTTTTTTTAACAGTGCTCTATTGGCAACAAGGAATGGGTCAATACCAAGAAAAAATAAACATGTTAAAAAGAACACCCAGTTTAAAAAAAAAAATTGTTATGGAAACCATTCTAGTTGGCCTGGAATTTTAATGAAGAAAAGTAAATGACAGAACTTTCAGAGGTAGTTTCTGTCTCAAGAAAAACAATGACAGGACTTGGTAATTATAATAATGGAAAAGATCTTGTAATAACAGCCAGTTTTCTGTGGTTAACCTGTTAACATTTTATAAGAATCTTCCCATGTTTTAGAGTAGAAGTTTCTTATTTTTTTGAGACAAAGTCACACTCTGTTGCCCTGGGTAGAGTGCAGTGGTGTCACTGCAGCTCACTACAACCTCAAATTTTGGCATAAGCCATCTTCTCTTGCCTCGGCCTCCAGAGTAGCTGTAAATACAGATGCACACCATGATGCCTTGCTAATTTTTCTATTTTTAGGAGAGATAGGATCTAGCTCAGGCTGATATCCAACTCCTGAGCTCAAGCAATCCCCCTGCCTCAGCCTCCCAAAGTGCTAGGATTACAGGTGTGAGACACTGTGCCCAGCCGAGTAGAAGTTTCTTGACATGGCAGAGACTTTCTGCATTCTCACTTCTGGTATACATTTATTCTTTCAGTATGTGTCTGCTATCTCTTGAAGCTTCCACATTTAGATACATTTTTTGCAACTGTCAAAACTCATGAGATTTGGATCATTTATAATCCCACTATAACTTACCTGTTTTCTTCTTGTGAAAGCCCTGAAGTCAAAATTAACATCCTTACAGTCAGCTCATTTAAAATTATTCCCTTTTTATATCTTCCTGTCTCTCTCCCTAGTTTCCACCAGGTATGTCTTACGAGTGGATCCCAAATGTTAGCGTATAGCTATGTTCGTAAAGTAGAAAATAAATTGTTAGTCTCTCAAAGTGTTCTTACTGTCTTTCCAGGTTATTGCTTTAGACCCAGTCCTGGGCTCCTTTCTGATCCTCACCAGTGTCATCTTGATAGTACTTGTGATAATTAACCTTTTTGTTTCTGCCATTCTAATGGCCTTTAGAAAAGAAAGAAAGTCCCCTAAGGTAGGTAACTCTGGCTTGGTACGTAAAAAATGAACTGTATCACCGGGAAAGCTCAAGATTACAGACTGACACAATACACAGTATCACCATATTCCCTTTATTAGTTTCAACAGCTCTGCCAACTATTTTCCTAGGAAACCCAAGTAACCAAGACGACATAATGTTCTATAGCTAATGTCCTATAAAAAGCTGGCCCTCAAGTAGCGGAAACACTCCACATGCCTGAAAATCATTACAGAAATAGTGTCTTTACTAATTTATCTTTGGTGTTTCTTGAACATTAGCAATAATTTCATTTTTTCCCTTTTGTCTTTAAATACTCAGAAAGAAGCTACAGTGGTAGATATGCTGCTACAGAAGTTCTCAAGTTTGTTAGGAATCCAACGATACCAGAACCCCTCATCTAAGCAAGAAGCCATGACAGCAATGGGGAAAGACATTGAGGTTGTAGAAAATGAACTACCTTAATCCTGTTACTTCCTATCTTGGCTTATTTCCTAGCATATTATTACTTATCTTTGCATAGCACAGCTTAGAAAATTATAGATGTATATACTTTTAAAATTTTTCCCCACCACTGCTCCCTCCCTACACTTTGCTCTTGTTAGTAAGGAATCAAAATCCCCTTGGCTCCAAGTTCTTGCTTCTGGATCTTGGCCCTGTCAGGATAGGATAACCCTGCAAAAACATTAAGAATAAACCAGCTCTTGATGCCACGCAGCAAGTAACAGAACACCACCCATACCACAAGATGGCTGTGAGAAATGAGTCACAAGTGAGCTCACTGCAACTTACTAAAAATAAAGATTTAAGTATGAACTCTGGCTGCTGCAGAACCCTGCCAGAGAGGAGTAACCAAACTCACAGAGATCAAAATAAGCCCTGCACTGCTTCAGACATCTGCAACACTGAGGAGACCGAAGGTGAGGGCTGGCTCTGGCTTGTACACCAACATGGATCACTTGCTTAAAATATTCTCCACTAAAATTCAAATTTATACATCATTGTTTGAGATTGAAAAAATGATGACACAAGATCTTCTAACTTTATTAGCAACTACTAGGCCATGAGATACAACCCAATCAAAAACACTAAAGTTGGTGGAAACAGGTATTTACAGATATGTTACACAGAAACAAAATTTTTTATCTTTTGATCCCAAAACCATCCCTGTGAGGAAGGAGGGCTTCAGTTCTGGGGCAAAGGAGCACGTGAGTTATAACATTAAGAGTCTCATCCCTTCCAGAAAGCCATGAATTGTAGCCACATGGGCACCAAAAATTTATCTGAGGTCAGTTTTCAAGATTCCACTAGTCATAAAGTTTTCAAATGAAAACATACTCCTCTTGTCCTGTAGGCTTTCCAGCTCACTACCCAAAAGACTTGAGTACTTCTATTAAGGCAGCTGGAAGCCCACCCTAGGCTTCAAGGGCAGCTTCTGCCCAATATGTGGCCTGTCCTCCCTCTGCCAGTAATGCAATCCAACAGAATATGCCATGTGGAAAACAGAAATTTCAACAGTGCTGCCCTCTTGTGAAAGGGAAACACAGCACTCAAAATAAAGCAAAAGGCCACAGAGGGCTCCCTGAGAATCCAGCAGAACTAAGAGGGGCCTTCAACTTTGCAACTGGATCCAGGTTGAACAGTGCCCTGCAGCAAGGAGTAGTGTATAATACCAACGGGGGCCCAGCTACCAGGAACTGTTACAACACTGGCCTCCTGAGTCATTTTCTCTCTCTTCCCTATTTCATGTTAGTGAGAAAACGCACACCGTGGCCTTGATTCCCTCACCTCAATGGGGTTTGTTTCTAAGTCAACACAAGGCTGAGAGGCTTCATGGGGTGCTCTCCTCCACTGTTCAGCCATCTCCGGTGGCTCTTCCCATAAGGCGTTCACGTTCCCGCTCTCCTGTGGAGAGACCAGGAGAGAACCTGGGATCACTCTCACAGGAAACAGCCAAGCACAGCTGTCAGGAGCCAGCGTCTCCAGCTGTTAGTCTCTTAAGATCAGTAGAGAACTGGAAAGCAGCAGAATCTGGAGAAGTAGGAAGAGAACCCCAAGGAAGTGTGCTCAGTGACGGTTAACAGATGAAACGGAATTTCATGGAGATTCTTTGTTACAGGGAGAAACTGCTCAGTCTCAACTCCCAGAAGTTGCCTGGTTTAAGAGGCCTATGTTTTCTTTTTTAGCTCTTCGAACCTCCGGGAAAGATCATCAAAGTCAATGTCTTCAGATGCTGAGGTGCTGGCACCAGCAGATGCAGTTGGTAGTGTGTCTGGCACAGATGGCAACTCTGGTAGTACAAAGTTGTCATAGTTATCCACAGGTCGAGAAGGGGGCTTTGCAGGGGCTTCTGGCTTGGGTCCAGGACCTAATTAAATTAGGGGAAGGAGAGCACAATGTTACAAATGCCAGAGAAATGGCTCAGATCCCCTTCGGCAGAAAAAAATAAAACACTTTTTTTTTTTTTTGAGATAGTGTCTCACTTTGTTGCCTGGGCTAGAATGCCGTGGCATCAGCCTAGTTCACAGCAACCTCAAGCAATCCTTCCACCTGCCGAGTAGCTGGGAGACTACAGGCATGCACCACCATGCCCGGCTAATTTATATAATTTTTTTTTTTTTTTAGTAGAGACGGGGTCTTACTCTTGCTGGTCCTGAACTCAAACAATGCGCCCGCCCACCGCGGCCTCCCAGAGTGCTAGGATTACAGGCCTGAGCCACTGCACCTGGCCAACATTTACTTCTTAAGGGAAGTCAAAGTGTAATGCATGGGGCCAGGTCCACAGAACATTCATCTAGGCAGGTTGTTACAGGAGACCTTTGTGAAAGGGAACTATTTTATCTGATATGATGGCCTAATCTGTATTTTATGTTAAAATCATCCCTCATTTACCTATTACATTGCTATTTATATCTTAAGTTCTAGAACAGGCCAAATTAAATTGTAGAATAGCGCTTGCCTATGGGGGAAAGGGTGAAACTCCCTGGGGAAATGGTGGAAACAGTCTATTCCTTGACTCCAGGGGTAGTTGAATGTGTATAAAAACTCAGCCTATATTTTAATATAAATTGTACTTTAATAAACCTACTAATTTTAAAAGTATTCCCCCTCTGGGTTTCTGGTAGCATTTTATTTTTTAATTGCATGGAGAGCTACATGAACATGCATGCTTTATGAAAATAAACTGAACTATATATTATTATCTGTGCTTATTTTCACCTATCTAACATCTCTCTAGTGCCCTGATTTATAAAAAGTTTTTTGTATTTCCAGACACAACGGAAACTGAAGCAACAATAATAAGAAACTGGAACGTGACTTGATCTTTATAAGATAAAAAAAAAAAAAAATAGTGAGGCTAGGCATGGCTCATGCCTATAATCCCAGCACTTTTGGGAGGGTGGGGGGAGTGTGCATCGCTTGAGCCAGGGGTCTCTTGAGACCAGCCTAGGCACTATAGCAAGACCCTGTCTCTCTAAAAAGGTTTTAAAAACTTAGCCAGGTATGGTGGTACACACCACCAGTCCTCCCTACTAGAAAAGCTAAGCCAGGAGGATTGCTTGAGTCCAGGATTCAAGGCTGTAGTGAGCTATGATTGAGCCACTGTACTTCTAGCCTGGGTAATAGAGTGAGGTCCTGTCTGGGGGGGGGGGGGGGGGGTGTAAAAAAAAAAAGATTCCCCCCCTTGCCGGAACCGGGGACTTTGGGGAAAACCTTTTATCTTTGGAAGCAGAAAATCTTGAGTTCTGTTTTAGCCATACTACTTCTGGGAAGAGAATAGGAAATGTGGGTAGAATACCATGGATTTGGAAACAGTCTCTGAGGGAAGAACAATAATGACAAAACAGAGGATTCAGAAACCTGAAAGGTTTCTGACACACTCACCAACAATCTGTGTAGAAGAAACATTCTTATCAGCATTAATGTCATCAACCTGGAACACAAAGACTGTTATCAGAGGATAAAGCAATGGCATCACTAGAAAAAGTATGAGTATCAGTAAGCCTCTATGTTTTCCAAGAGCTAAGTTGTTCACCAAAAGCAAAAGAACCTACTCCAAAGAACTGCTCCTCCCCCCTTCACTTCTTCCAACCAGGCAGATACCATGTTGAACTCTTAACTGCCAAGCAGAGAAAAGGAAAATTCTTACCACACCATGACACTTTTTTTTTAATGATACCTTCACCTTCCAGGCAAAGAGAAAGCACTAAACCACTGAATACATCTAAGAACTATGTCCTCAAATATTGATAAAGATCTTCTACCTCATTCCTAGAAACAGCTGTGGGTCATGCTTTGACACATGCAAGATCAAAGCATAAGAAAAACTCAGGCCCAAAGTAAAACAAATCACCTAGAGATAAAACCAAAAACAGCTCAGGAACAGGGAGATTTTCCTACATGAGTAATTTACATACCAAGTGCCATACCAATTTGTTTTCTCAGTAAAGTGTCAGATGGAAACCAGGGTCAAAAGGCATATACTGAGGAAACAAGGCTGGCAGAAAAAGATCTAATTCTGAACCAAAGCTATTAACAACTTAAAATGCAAGGCATCATTATTGTACTAGCTACTGTGTTTCCCCGAAAATAAGACCTACCCATAAAATAAGCCCTAGCAAGATTTCTAAGCATTTGTGCAATATAAGCCCTACCCTGAAAATAAAACCTAATGATAGGCGTGGCTACGCACCCTATCTGCACAATCCATGCATTTCGTCACACAACAGTAAAGACCATGAGCAGCCCTTCTCATCTGCCCCATCGTGACAGCTATTATCCCAGAGGTGACCGGAAGGAAAGGTGCGGACAGCCCCACCAACAAGGTCGGCTCCTCCGGTTAGGTCCCAGCCATCCTGTGCATACTGCAAGCTGAGGCTTTGAGAGGAAAATAACACATCCCCTGAAAATAAGCCCTAGGATGTCTTCTTGAGGAAAAATAAATATAAGACCCTGTCTTATTTTGGGGGAAACACGGTATTTATATTAACAAGTTTTAACTATAACACTAAAATGTGAAATCAATGCTATAGGCTGAAATATGCTAAATGCTTTTGTTAAGACAAAAATGTCACTATTCCTTTACATAAGTGTTGAAAACTTTTAACATTACTATTTTAATAATTATGATATTCTAGCACCAAGACTATACCAGCTCAATGTGATTTTCTGCCTAGCTAGTTAAAAAAAAAACCAACAAACTGGTTAAATACCTTCAGAGGTACTACAACTCTAAGAGATCTGCAGCTCCTTCCTGATTCCTGGCGTAACTGCATAGACAAAGCACTGCCACCAATGACGCTGCCATCACCACCACTCCCCACTTCCACGGTAGCATTAAAGCAACACAAGAATCCCAAAGCAAGAGCAATGCTGGTACTAAGAGTTGATTAAAACTTTGCCTTCCCTGTGGTCATTATTTTGTGCTCTCTTCATGGGATTCTCTCTCCTGTTGCTTATAAAAGAGGGTCAGGCACTTACAGATTCATACGATGGGGGAGTTGCTGGTATCTGAGGTGGATGAATATTGGGAAAGGCCTGATAAGTCCCCACTGGCAATCCATTGAAATCCGACTGCAAGAGGAGAAAGGCAACATCAGAGACACTGCCCCTGATTTGCAATTTCTGAGGTTCGTGTGTGGGAAGGGAGAAAAATTATATATACATATATATCCTCACATTGAATATATATATATTCAAGATGCCCAAAAGGACCACATGTGGTTGGAAGGATTCCACATTTTTATAGACCTATAGCCAACAGCTATTCTCCAAATTACTTAAGTAGTTCATTGTCTACAAAAGAAAATTCTAATCAGACTTCCATACTAGCTATGACCTCCTCCTTGTCCACAAAGGAGGTTTTTCTGCCTGGTAATAAGTGGCAGTTTATTCATTAGTGGAAAAAGCTGCTAACATGACTGCAACAAGTCCCAAAGATATTAAGTAAACCTAAATGAAAAGGGTTTTTCTAGCACCATTTTTCTAGATTTTCCCACTCCATTACCTGTAAGCTCAGCCAAAAGACTTTCTCTGAATCCCAATGCTATTTTTTTCCACAATGTGATCACTAAGCTAATACCAAATGTTCATACTGCTAAATGCTCCTGACAACCTACAATTCCTGAGTGTATTCACAGAGCTGACTTGTCATCCTCTGTAACATTTTATAAAGCTTACACCCACACTTACTTATATGTATACTTACAGGTCCTTTTGGCAGTGGATATGAGAAAGGTGTATTTGGAGAGGGCATGGGCATGGGCATGGGCATTGGCACTGTTCCATCAGGTCCGCCCACTGGTGCTGTGAACCCACCCCCTCCTCCTCCTCTTCCAGGGCCACCTTTCTTCACATCATCTGTGAATCCAACATCAATAAGATCTGTCTCTACCCCAGGAGGAGCTTCTGCCTGAGAAAGAGAGAAAAACCTCTATCATTAATCCATGTCCAAAGCCAGGTTTCTCAGGAAACAGACTCTGAGATGGAGATTACCATGAAGTAAGTTTACTGGAGAGTGCTCTTGATGAACACCTGTGGGGAAAGTGAAGGAAGTAGAGTAGGCTAGTTCAAGAAGCTGGACTGCATTGTGGTCACAACAAAGGCCTCGGCCAATTTTCCAGTGAGTTTTGAAGCTGGGACAGACCTGCAGAGGTATCCTCAACTGGGGCTAAAGAGGGTGAGTGAGCAGCACACCAAAGCACCCACCACACCCCATCAGCTTTAACTGCTAATGATTATTGTTTGCATATTTACCTGCTTTATACTGTAAGGTCTCAGTACAGAGACCCTGTTTTTATATATCTCTGTATTCTCAGCCTTCTATGCACTATCTGGCACATGGTGGGCACCCAAGAAATGTTTTAGGAACTGTTCAGGTCTTGGGACATTTCATAGGGGGATTCTCAATTTCTTTACGTTCATTGAAAAGCAGCAATAATGCCATTTTTACATTTGTATCAAGGTTTATACCTTCTCAAAGTGCTTGCATTTATTCATTTAATCTAATTCTTAAGGATACTCTAAGAAATATGGGCGGCATATTGTCACTCAAAAAGGCAATAACTGGACAAAGGCTTAAATTCACATACACAAACTTAAGTTAGTACAAAGAATATGGTTATTTTTTCAAAGAAGGTCATATTTAGAAACTCATTTATTTGCCTTTGTACTGTGGGATAAACTTACCATGACGACAGAGTCAGGCTCATAGGGCACGTTGTAATTCTTGGCAATTTCAATTAGGTATCTCTCCACCAGGATTTTGGGTGGGGCTTCCACACTCAGTTTGTGCATTAGCTATAAGTAAAACACCCATGGTTAAGACAGATCTACAACAACCAGCCTAATCCTAACCTGTCTCACTATTTAAACCTAGTTCCTCTCATTTTACAGGTAAAGTTGAGGAAAGAGGTTCAGAGCAGTTTAATGATTTTTTTCAGAATCACAAGGCATGTCACAGCACCCTTCTCTCCCTTACATTCTCCAACTACACACGACTCAGGTGTCGGGAAAAGGGTAACATAGCTTCCTTCCACATTTCAATTCATCCACACTTCCCCCCACCTCACTTCCTACCTTCACAAATCATAAGGGGCACAAAGGAAGAGGGAAAAGCCAGGAATGACAGCATCACAATTAGAGGTGCGGGGTAGGGGTAAGCGGTTGACTGCACTGGCAGTCACACAGCTGTTCTTCTCACCCTCACTATGAAATGTGCAATCCTAGATTAACTGAGTCACACAGTGGTACCCACTAAAATCACCACAAGCAATAAAATAACCTCCCCTGCCCCTGTGCATTCCTTCATTTTTACCAAGTATGCTCATTACCCTGTCATTGACAGTTCCAATCTGATTGGTCCTACATAACTTGCCATATTCCTTGCTATACTTGGCACAGAGCTGATCGGCAACCTAAAGAGAAAAAAGAATAGTAAATAAAAATGGAAGCCATTTCTACAGACCGCTTCAAGTTTCCTTCTATCAGTAGTTAACATGCTTCTATTACAGGATCTCCAAAAAACTGGAGACTATAAAACCTTAAGGGATACTCATTCATTCATTTACTTGTTTACCCATCCATTCAATTAAGAGAGCCAAACACTATACAAGCATTATGGCATACAATATAAATATAATGATGAACAAATACAGACATTTGTTCCTACTTATAGAATCTTATAGTCTCTGGGGAAAACAGTCATTAACCAAATAATCACACAAATAAAGGTATAACCACAGATGTGATAAGTGCTACCAAGGGGAAGGTACACCATGCTATCTCCAGCTTATAACAGGACAATCAGATCTGATCAGAAAAGTATATCTCAACAAATGGGGCAGGAGATAAGAATGAGACAAACTCCTAGAAAATAAAACAAAAAGGCAAAGATGCATAAAATAGAATACTCAACTGAAATTTGTATCCTAGCAGTCAGTACCATACCCATGCCGTGATGTGCAATTTTCTAGTTAATATCCATCTCTTCCACTAGAGACTTTAAGCTATAACAGTATGGCTATTGCCACATTTTCCTCACCACTGTTACCCTCAGCACTCACCCAGCTCATAGCATACACTCAATAAATAGTTGTGGAATTAACAAATAAAGCAAAACATCTGTCACCTTAAATTAGTATTATTTTAACTTTGCTGCTTTACAATTGTATAAGAACTTTTCTATTTGTATAAATAACATTATAATAAAAATAATTTAAGACAAAATTTTTGCAGAAATACACAAAACTTTGCTCCTTAAAAAAATTATTCAAGTTTGCAAAATACTATTCTATCATCTGAGGCCTGAAAAGGAAAAAGGAATTTACGAAGCTATTTCAAAACCATGAGAAGGGTACAAAATACCTGGTCAAATGAGCAGAAGTAACGTACATTAAGCAACCTCTCTCACAATATGAAAAACTACAAAAAGCACTGAAACTGGTTGTACTCACTATTTTCAACTCAGCCACTTCAGACTGGAGTCGAGGAGCAGCCCATATCAGTGTAGACACCGATTCAGCCAGACCAGAATCTAGCTCCCTAATCAAGGAAAAAAATGAATATAACTTAACATTCAAAAATCAACAAAACCCTGGCTTTTGTATCATATATCTGCTAGCCTCTAAAGCTATTTCAATATCTCATTGGATTCTCACAGTAACGCTAGGCTTCCAGCCATTTTCATTATCCTGTTTTTCCTTTAGGGAAATTCAACTAGGCAACAAACCCAAGGCTACAGGTTGAGCCAGACTCAAACTCAATTTAAGATTCTATATTTTCTTTTCCTGTGTTTTTATTGTTTGAGACAGAGTCTCACTCTCTTGCCCGGGCTAGAGTGCCCTGGTGTCAGTCTAGCTCACAGCAACCTCACACTCCTGGGCTCAAGCCCTTCTGCCTCAGCCTCCCGAGTAGCTGGGAATAGAGAGGCATGTGTCACCATGCCCAGCTAATTTTTTCTATATATTTTTAATTTGCCAATTAATTTCTTTTTTTTTTTTTAAGTAGAGACGAGGTCTCCGCTCTTGCTCAGGCTGGTTTCGAACTCCTGACCTTGAGCAATCCACCTGCCTCAGCCTCCCAGAGTGCTAGGATTACAGGCGTGAGCCACCATGTCTGGCCCAGATTCTATATTTTCTTTTCGACAGTTATCTACACTGAGATTAAACCTTCAAGCCAACCGGTAGGCAAAACATCCTTGGGTATGTGAAATAATCCCTTAGTATGTAGGAATAGATAAGTATTACTCCCTTCTCCAATACCAGAAGTGATTTAGGTCTTTGAATCAAAATATCTTACTTCATAGACTGGATGAGGCCAAACCGAGCCAGCAGCAGGTCACAGTACAACTCCAGGATCTCCATGGCCTCCACTAGGTAATCTTCACGGATAATGTGCTCCACACGAATCCGAGCTCGTTCATCTTTCCCAGCGGCCAGATAGTCAGCAATCTCCTTCCTTGCTTTCTGAGCCAGTTCCGCTAAGGCACAAATTCCACTCTAGTCACACAACAGTACTGCTCTGGCACCTGGTCTGCGAGCTGACTTCTATCCCAACAGAGAACTGGGTGTTTCTACTATATCCCAGCGTACTTTCCCTTAGGAATCTAGTTCCATCCCATCTACTCTAGAACTTGTTGCTTTGTGTAGCTAAGAATATGGTTCCTATGGCTTGACATCTCCAACTCAGGAGTAATGTTACCTGTTCCACAGCAAGACTATGTCCCTTTCCCTGCAACAAAGTGATTTAGCCAACTAGTTACAGGAGGCAGAAATGCATCAAAAGTTCAAAACATATGAGATCTCTTAGAGTTCACAGTACTGGCCTAAAAGATCTAGTACCGTGGTGCTGGCACCCATTGATATATTTTGAGGAAGAAAAGGTAGAGCAAGCATGTGCTACTCACTTTTTTTTTTCTCCAGTAGTTTAAGACGATTTATGACTAATCTCAAATTGACTCGTAAGCGCTCAGCTTTAAATCCAGACCCCAGCATGTTGTGCTATTCCTCCTGGAAAAAGAAGCAACACAATGACAATTTTCAAGTCAAAATTGTTTCAGGAACTAACACCACTTAGAGGTAAATTATTTGACACAATAAACCACTGGTTCTCCAATACAAGAAAATAACATCATCTAATTCACATTTTTTACAAATCATTTTGGTGGTTGTAGAGAGAACTGATCAGGAAAAAGTAATACTGCAAGCAAGAAGACCAAGGGGAAGGCTAATACTATAGTCCAGACAAGAGATGGTAATAGCTTAGACCCGGGTGATTTAGCAACTGGATTTGAAATCTACTTTGAAGGCAAAGCTGAAAGACCCCGGTGATAGATGGTATTGGCATGGGACTGAGGTGATAAAAAGACAAAGAAGCAGGAAGGCCTCCTGCTTCTCCCCCAAAATCTCAACCGAGGCAGTGATGGGAAAAGATTATCAAATTTACATCCAAAACCAAATTATTCTTATCTTTTTTTTTTTTTTTTTTTTGAGACACAGTCTTACTTTGTTGCCCAGGCTAGAGTGCCGTGGCGTCAGCCTAACTCATAGCAACCTCAAACTCCTGGGCTCAAGCAATCCTTCTGCCTCAGCCTCCTGAGTAGCTGGGACTACAGACATGCGCCACCGTGCGCGGCTAATTTTTTCTATATATTTTTAGTTAGCCAACTAATTTCTTTCTATTTTTTAGTAGAGACAGGGTCTTGTTCTTGCTCAGGCTGATTTGGAACTCCTGACCTTGAAAAATAGTAAGAAGTTAATTGGACAGCTAAAAATATATAGAAAAAATTAGCCGGGAATGGTGGCGCATGCCTGTAGTCCCAGTTACTCGGGAAGCTGAGGCAGGATTGCTTGAGCCCAGGAGATGGAGGTTGCTGTGAGCTAGGCTGATGCCATGGCACTCTAGCCCAGGCAATAAAGTGAGACTCTGTCTCAAAAAATTCAGATGTATTTTATTTTTGTGAAATTGCCTCCAGAAGCCTTTATGTTACATTTAAAAATGAACCCCAGTCCCAGTTTAAAATGAGGCTTGTATGTCACAAGGTATCTGGAATCCATTATTGTGAATTATGTTAAATTCATCCAACAAATATGTACTGATTACCTATATGTCAGACACTAGCTAGATACTGGAGATAAAAAAAAGTATAAATATGGTATAGTACCTGTCCTTAAGGAAACTTACATTTATTGAAAAAAAAGCTAAGAAAATCTGACAACTACAATATTATTGAATATACAATATTATTGAATAAGGGCTTTAATTGTAGATTCTAATTCTCATTCAGGAGTGATTTTGCTCCCTAGGGGACATTTGGCAATGACTGGAGACGTTTTGGGTTTTCCCAAGTGGACAGATTGCTACTAGCATCTGGTGGGCAGAGGCCTGGGATGCTGATAAACACCCTGCAATGAACAGTACAGCACACCTACACAAAAAACTATCTAGTCTAAAATGATAATGGTGCCAAGACTGAGAAACCTATTCTAGAGAAAAGACACCCACACCTGTTGAGGGAGATGATGAAAGCTTTCCAGAAGAAGGGAGAGCCTAAGCTGAGTCCTACGGACAAACAAGATATTTGTAAAGACCTGGGTATAAATATCCCAGGAAGAGGGAACGGTGTGTGCAAAAACCAAGTTACTGTGTTTCCCCCCAATAAGACCTACCCATAAAAAGATCTACCCATAGAAAGCCCTAGCAGGATTTCCAAGCATTTGCACAATATAAACCCTACCCCAAAAAAAAGACCTAGTGATGGGTGTGGCTACGCAACATATCTGCACAACCCATGCATTTCATCATGGAGAGATAAAGAAGACAAGCAGGTTACATGGATAAGAGCTGCTCATTTAATGAGAGTTCTATTGCTCAACGTGAGAGATTAGGGCCAATAGTTCTAAAGGAAATAGAGTCGCAAGAAATTCAGTATGGAATTCGGGATTTGGAGAGTTATGATGATGTTCCAGAAGATGACGGTTTAACTATATTTGAAAATAAATACAGATTGTTGTACTGTACTTAAAAAAAATAACACACCCGCTGAAAATAAGCCCTACGGTGTCTTCTTGAGGAAAAATAAATATAAGACTCTGTCTTATTTTCGGGGAAACACAGTACTAGAGAACAAGGAGCTTTCTGAGACACAAGTTCAATACAGTTGAAGTATGGCATTAGCCATAGCTTATGCCATAATGTGCTCCTCACAATCATAACTTCAAGATTTCAATTCAACAATTTTATAAGATGTCAAGCACTGTAGTAGGTTCTGGTGCTGGCTAGATCCAGAAAGTATCCTTGTTCTCAAGGCATTCATAATCAGAAATGGATGAGAAGTGGGAAGGCAGCCAGAAAAACAGTAAATACTACTATCATTTATTCTACCAGGCACTTGCCCAAGATCAGTCAGCAACCAAATGGGAGAGCTAAGAATAAAACCTAAGTGTATCTGAATTAAAAACCCAGGTAAACAGTCTTAATCTTCTACTACCGTATCATTTTCAGCACTACATAATACACAATGTTTTTTAAACCCTTTCTGACAAATATTTACTGAATGCCTACTACACTATAACAGGCACTGGAGATATACTAGTAAGGAAAAGCATACAGGGTTATTACTGCCCTCATAGAGCTGACATTTGGAGAAACTTATTGTGTCACTAACTATAAAATAACAACTGTACTCAGTAACACAAAGAAATAAATGGTATTCTGGACTTTTTATAAGGGGATTTGACCTCTTTAGTTTTGTGCCTGGAAACTGTCTCAAAGATAAAAGATAACAAAATTGGGGGTCTAATACAGAGTCATAAGTTATGACATTAAAATGTCAAGATTTCTGTGTGGTTCTTCAGTAGTCTATGTTGGGGTCTGTAAGTATCAATTTTGTGATGTGTCAATGCCTACAGACAAAACTTACATCATGTCTATATTTTAAATATTTCCAAGAGGCTTTAAAACATATACATTTTGGGGCCAGGTGTGATGGCTCATGCCTGTAATTCTAGCACTTCGGCAGGCCAAGGTGAGAGGATCACTTGAGCCCAGGAGTTCTACATTAGCCTAGGTAACACAGTGAGATTGTCTCTACAAAAAATTTTAAAAACTAGCCAGACGTGGTAGCAAGTACCTGCAGTCCTAACTATGGGAGACTGAGGCAGAGGAATCACTTGAGCCCAGGAGTTCAAGGATGCAGTGAACTATGATTGCGCCAGTGCACTCCTGCCTAGGCAACAGAGTAAAGACCCTGTCTCTAAAATAAACAAACAAAATATATATATGTATTTAGGCCTAGTAATTCTACTCCTAAGAACTTAACATAAGAACAGAGCTTCATGCACATATTTTTATATGAAAATATTTATCACATTTTAAGATCAAAAACTGAGAATAAACTATATAATGAACTAATATTGTTTATTAAATTATCTTACATAACTTTTCATAGCCATTAGAATATTTTTTTTTTTTATTGGGGAGAACTTGAAGTAGAACCATTAGAATATTTTTAAAAAGCATTTATTGACATGAGGATATATTAATGATATGACATACAGTTAAAAAGTTATGAATGTATGTGTGTGTGTGTCTATATATATATATATATGAAGTACGACCCCAAATTCTAAAAAAGCATATATGCACAAAGACTAGACTTAAAAAAATTTAGCCATTCCTGTATGTAAACCCTTTTCACATCCAAAGACTCTGGGCTAACCCTACAACTAATGCTAAATCCAAATCTACTGCTGAAAACATTTAATTTGGAATTTCTATAAAAAAACAAAGAACAATATCAATTCATTTGCTCCTTTAGAAAAGCAAAACATTAAGTTATCAAAAAATGTTAACAATCAACACTAACTTACTAGAATAGGTATCTCAGTAGAATCAGACACTGAAGGGCACAAACAAAACAGACAAGTAACAAAGGAGTGGCTTTAGTAACATGAAGGAACTCAGGACGATATAAAGACATCATTCTATATTTCACATATTTGCCTAACATGGTTGGCAACCATCACCATGAGTTTGGGATCATACTTAGGGACCATACTTAAATAGCCTGAAAAGAGTCCAAACAATCACAAGAATAACAGAGGCCGCGGCCGAGCGTTGGAATCCTGCTCTTGAGCCGAAGGCGCGCGGGGCACGGTTCGCGCGGAAGGCGAGGAGGAGTTCGAGAAGCTAGCGCTGAAGAGGGCGCGCGGTTTTACTATAGAATAGAAAGAAAATAATGGCCAACGGAATGAGAGAGAGAAAAGATTAGCCGCGGGGGGGACGCCTGCGCGCCCCTCGTATTGGAGCCCAGAGAGCCACAAAAAGAAGAGAAGAAGAAAAAAAAAAAGTAGCGGGCGAGCGAGGCCGAGGAGCGTCTGGGAGGCTGAGGTAGCGAGGAGTTGCTTTGAGCCGAGGAAGGTTTGAGTTGTGTGAGCGTAGGTGACGCCATGCGACGCACTCGTAGCCTAGGCAAGCAAAGTGAGACGTGGTCAGAAGAAGAAGAAAAAAATAGAGACTTTGAGGAAGTGCTAAAATTCTCTGAAAAAGGAACTTAAAAGTTTTATGCTGCAAATAGAAATCAAGCCCTGTAAATGAAGTTGAAAATATTGACGTGTGCACAGTTGTCTATATTTCACTGTTAACCTTTTGGCTGGAGATGTTTGAGGCAGAGGAGTTTATAGAAGTCTACTGTAGAAGACTTATGATTCATTAACATTTATTTATTCAAACCTATAAAAGTAAGCAAAATCATAGGGCCCTTTTGGGGACTCTAACAATCAAGGCTGCAGCTGGAAATAGATGGCACACATAACCTGGCAATTTGAGGAAAATTTATTAAAGATAGTATTTACAATGGTTTAGAGAAACCAACAAATGATAGTGCATTGCCCTTGAGCCAGTAACACCTTTAGGCCTGAAAGGGCAAGATGAGGAAGTAGAACCCACATAGCTATACGGGAGAGGGAGAGGGCCAGCAGATAGGAGTCGTGGTCTTTGGTAGAGACAT